CAATATCCCCTGACCCGGCTCCCACGGATCCAAGTCCGCACGTGGTACAACAATGCAGTACCTTTATGCCGCAAAGACCAGTGACTGGTATTCCCGTCATTCATGCAACACAACGTCACTAGCAAGACACTAGTGCATCGAAGCATATATATGCTTCGATTTGACAAGACTCCAAGACAATTCATCATCCAGTGTCTGCTAGAGTTCCCTACTCGTTTATTCTGTTTCAACCCGTTTTACCCCTGTTTTAACTTTGAGTCAGATGAGATGGCAGGAGGACGGAATCGGGGAATCTTGTCAGGTTCGGGTTGAAGTTCAAATAAATAATATTCAGACACGTCCGCGAGCAGTCTATCCAGCCCTGATTTCCACTCCGTTACTTCCTCTGCCACGAACATAACTGTGGTGTTTAAAAGGGGTGGTGGAGAGGCTTGATCAGTGGGTCGATTACCAGCACTGTCTGGATCGGTCATGAAGGACACTGTAGTCGCTTGTCTCGCTTTTCTTGCTTGTAACGGTCCTGACTTAATAACTTGGAAAACATAGTAGAATAAATCTCAATAAACTGCTTTCAATGAGATTGTATGCAAAAAAGTAGATAATAAAACTAAAAGTTACTCACTGCTCATGGCTATATTTATACTTATTTGACAGGATGGACTTCAGTAAACGGAGTATACTATATTCTGTTATCGGCTGCCGGGTGCCCATGGGATAGTGCTCCTACATCCATATGGATCCAAACTATACATATCGGAGGCCATCCATTGGTAGATGTCAGGAGTCAGACATATATCGAATCCATTCGCGGGAGTCAGTTTGACCCGCGATAGTCGGGGACGGCTAGCGCTGATAACGGAACAGCGGCAAAAGAACGGAGGTAAAAGAAACAATTTGGTCCGGTTGCTGTGTAACCATGTCATGGTCCGACCATGGACCAATTACGACATGACATAACAACAAGCGAAGAAAATAGTCGGCGTCTGTGGTCCAGAGGTATGATTGCTCCCTGCCACGGAGTAGACCCGGGTTCGATTCCCGGCGGACGCATGCAACGATTAATTTTATCTATTATGTGATATAGGTTCTTTTACTACCAGCTTTTTGCTTCACATTTGTTACTTGCTTGACATCACCAAATCTTATAATAATCCATTACCTATGAAATCATGTTAGAATCTGTTTTATTCCACTATCATCCTACTGTTGTGCAGCTGGCAGTGACCACTATAATTACACTATAGTACTAGAATCTTAAGATCTAATTTCTATGAACTATACTAAGTGGCAAAATTAAGTCATAAGAATGAAAAGTATTGGAAATCTTAAATAATTTCTCAGAGCAATGTTTATTGAAAATGATAAAAATAATTCATAGTATATGCTATGCACTAATCTATTTCATATAGTTGTATGATTAATGCTCTTGAAATCATCGAGAGAATGACTATTATTAAAAAAGTTTTTAACTTTATTTCACATTTAAATTTGTCAATTTATTTCTCAATAACTAGTATAGCCACTATAGGCTTTTTTTTTACCACAGCAATACACCCAGGTATCGAGTTCACTAGCCATAAACAAACAGTTTCATTTACTTATATGCAATTTCCTAGACCAATATAACATTTGTGCCAAAAACAATGATTTTTAGCCTTTATCTGACCATACTTATAATGAAGCCCTATAAGTGAATAGCACATCATATCTAGGGGACTCCACTGATCATCATAGAGTAGAAACAGTATGGAGGTCATTCACAATCACTAAACTAGGTAAAAAAATAGTTAAACTTTTAAAACTTTTTATTCTTTTATTTTTTTTTGTGCTTCTACAAAACCCCCATTGGCATCCTAAAAAAATTTCAGTTGATTTCTTGTGACCCAGCCTCTATCTTAGTAGTAGCATATTAATTGTGTATCAACTGAAATTTTTCAGGATGCTGATAGGGGTTTTGTAGAAGTGCCCTTTCTTGCATTTGTGTTTATTAGTTAATCTAGCTGCTAATATCTTTTTGGCCATTAGTAAACATTCTGTTTTTTAAAATATTTTTTAGCTGCTAGTAATTGATTTATAATTTGTTAATTGGTTATGGGGGTCATTCCTGGACTTGTAAATTTTAGTAAATTACAATTTTGTTAGATAGTTATTTGAATAATCGTTTTCAGAACTATTTTTTGCTACTAGATATTTTTGTAACAGATATTTATAATTGTTGTGTCCAGAATGTTTTTGTGTGTATAATTGATTTTAAAAATACAAATATTTTTTTTTGCCATTTCACCCAAACCGCCATCGGCATCTTGGAAAAGTTTCAGTGAACATAATTTCCTTGTGGTTGCTTAGCCACATCTATTGAGATATTGACTTTTGTTGCCCAATGATAATTAACCCCAAATATGCAAAGGTTTTTCTTTCTGGTTGAAATTATGTTCACTGAAACTTTTCCAAGATGCCGATGGCGGTTTGGGTGAAATTTTTATTTCACTGAAATTGCCAATAGTTTAAACATGTATAAATAGTTGTTATGCAGATAACTAGCTCTGAATGACCTCCTATTCTAATATAAGATATTAAGTATCTTTAAACTTTCTTATTTGTGAATGGCCTCTAATATTTATATCTTAAAAATCAATTATACACACAAAAATATTCTGGACATAATAATTAATAATGCACTGAGCAATAAAATTGAGTCACAAAATATTTTCAACTTTTTGATGCTATATCTTCATAATCAGATAACGTAGATATTTCCATTCGATATATGTTCGATGGGGCTTAACATAGTATAAACATATGTATGTAAATGTTCTCTACCTATTGTACCTCATATGATATCGAAGCAATAGTAAAAAACTAGAATAATTAGATAGGCTAAAATTTGACTTGCTTTGACTTCATAGTGCTATTTCTATACCTTATCATTTTTCAAATAATGTGAAATCTCTGTGCATAACTCTGCTATACTCGCCCTTCAATATTAATATCTCACTCACTATGTTGCTCAACTATGCATAGTACTATTATGTATTCAATATATAAAGAAAAATTATGAAGGAAATAATCAATGCTTCAGTGCTGCCATTACTCTTATGGATATTGAATGCATAGTTAATACTTACATGACTAGTATTCAACACTAAAGAGAAATGAGTTTGATAGCTAGTTCACTGAAGGAATTATCAACTATAAATGATGCATAACTACACTTATGCTCTCCATTGAAGCAATGCAATTCTATGATATGATTTTTTTTATAGTATCAGTATATAGATAAGTAGAGAGGTTACTACTGTGGCTATCTGCTCTATACTATGAGATATCTATATGTAACCTCTGTGCCTAATGATAAGCAATTTAGAATGAGTAATATATTTTGCAATTTTCTTAATCCCTCTTTAAGCAGCTCCTTCTGATCAAATACTTAGTAGATCAAACCAGATGTACTTACTATACAAACTACATGCGCTACAGGTAACAGCGAGATTGAAATATCCTAATGAATATACTTTATTCTGTGAACATTGGGAAGAAATCTGGAATCATAGAAAATCAGAAAAAGTATATTCTTAGTTTAGAGTAGTGTATCTCTATACAGCTATCGTCATTGCTTCCTTAGTAGAGGTGGATGTGACACACTGACCAGTGTGTATATGATGATATAAAACATACCTTGATTACATACCTATGATAACCAGTAGGAGGGTGCAAAGATTATATCTAAAGAAGTCATCATCACATAAATAGCAATTTGGGCTACAGGTTGGCTAGATATGTATCCTGTTTCTACTGTATGATGATCAGTGTAGTCCCTTAGATACGATACGCTACTCACATATAGGGCTTCATTATAAGTATGATCAGATAAAGGCCAAAATTCATCGTTTTTGGCACCTACGTGGCGTTGGCCTAGGAAATTATATATAGGTAAGTAAATGAGACTGTTTGTACATAGCTAGTGAACTCGATGCCTGGGTGTATCACTGCAGTCATAAAAGCCTATAGTGGCTATACTAGTTATTGAGAAATAAATCAACGAATTTTTGAGAGTAAAATTAAGTCAAAATTTTTTTTTAAAAAAGACAATTTCTTGATTGTTTCTAGAGCGATAAGTATGCAACTTCATGAAGTAGATTAGTGCATGGCATACACCACGAATTAATTTTATCATATTCAATGAACATTGTTCTGAGAAATTATTTATAATTTTCCAATAGTTTTTATTTTTGTGACTTAATTTTGCCACTCAGTGTAACTATGATAAAAATAGTTAGATATTTGATTAATCATTTTCAGAACAGATTTTTGCCTGATAACTAGCAGAATTATAATTTACTAAAATTTACAAGTCTAAGAATGACCCCTAATAGGTATACTAATTATATATCAAAATCTTTGCTAAAAGATCGAAACCATTTTCTATCCAATATATCATAGGCAAATTTAATTAGCTCTTAAATCAGGTCATATAGTTGGAAGTTATCTGGCTAGGTCTTTCGCAGTCTCATTTTGTATCAGTGTGCCAAGGGTCTACTATCTTATATATTCTTTTAATGTCACACTTCTCAGCAATTGAGATTGCCTCTGGCCGCGTGGCCCAATGGATAAGGCGCTTGACTACGGATCAAGCGATTCCAGGTTCGAGTCCTGGCGTGGTCGTTCTCTTTTTTTTGGAAAATTTCCCACAGCTCCACGGTAGTACAGAACCTGGGCGATCTGGAGCGAAAGGCCGATCGTGCTGCGGCCACAAGGCAACGGGTTTGGTCAACTGGGGTATATAAGGCGAGGAGGATGTATGGCAGGACCGCATCCTGTATCAACCTCATTTTGTTTTATAGTCGTAATCGGATATGGCTGCCAGCGAACTAGTTCTGAAACGCGCGTCTCGTGAGCAGATTCAGCAGACATGGGCGAATTCCTACGACGAGTGGGGCAAGGGCACCATGAAGGTGGACGGACTTTTTGGAGCGCGAAAGAGTTTTGGCCGCGCAGGACTTTGCCCAGCGCGGGCTGACAGTCTGGGTGTATGTGCCTCGCAATGATCCGGCAACGCTAGAGATGCGGGCGCATCTGGAGAGCTTCTGCAGGCGTGCGATAGTGCGGCGGCGTGGGGCAGAGGCAGTGGAGGAGGTCACGTGCCACTCTATTGGTACGGTGTTCTGTCCGCCCACGCAGCGCAACCGCGGGTATGCTACAGGTCTGATGCGGGCGCTGGCGCAGGAGCTGCAAGAGCTCCGGGGCGTGTCGAATCTGTACTCCGACATTGGCGCCGAGTTCTATGCCAGGCACGGCTGGCACGTGTATTCGCCGGTCAGCGTGCGCTTCACGCAGGCTTTGCCTTCTGGCGCGGCTGTGAAACCTGCTCAGCGAGCCTGAGATCGCAGCCTACGCCGAGCAGGACTGCGAGAGGGTTGTGCAGCAGATGCAGGCGCTGCCAGTCTCTGCCAGTCATGTGCATGTGGCAATTCTGCCTGAGGCATGCGTCTACGCGTGGCACTTTGCCAGGGCTCGCTTTGAATGTTCGATAGTGCATGGCAGCGACCTGCGCCTGGAGCATTTTGGGGCAGCGCTTGCTGACGGCAGCTTCCTGGCGTGGACCTATGATGTGCGGCAGGGCACTGTGGTGGTGTTGCGGGCGGCTGTGGAAAGCCAGGAAAGTCTGTTGGCGCTAACAGCAGCCGCCATGGAAGTGGGTAGGAAGGTGGGGTTCAATGAACTCGTTTTCTGGAACCCTCCTTTTGAGCAGGCCCTAATTGCTGCTGGTGCCGAGCGGGTTGTGCGCACGGGCAGCCTGCCGAGTCTGTGTGTGTTTGGGGAGGAGGACGGCGAGCACGTGGAATGGTTGCTGAACGAAAAGTTTCCATGGGTATAGAATTTTTTTACTTTTGTTCTCAGCCTTTGCTCTGACTATCAAGGAATGTCTTAGAATGCAAGATCAACATCTAAAACACGTGAAGCGACGTGGCAACCTTGAGGTTGAGCTTCTTAGCGATACCTACGTTCAGATTAGCGGCAAGGCAGCGGCAGTTCTAGATGTTGCTACTTCAGTCTGGTTCATATCTCGCTCGATGTTTTCCAATACCGCAGCAGAATTTCCAATACGGGTACACAGCAATTCCCACACCATTTGTCCGCACTAACAATCCCGTGCGAATAGCGTGTGAGAATGGCACTGGCAGCTTGTATTGGCGATATCACAAACGCAACGCAGCGCTTGGTCCAGTGACTCATAAAGCCATCCCAGCATGCCACTATTAGCCTGCGCCAGCAGTATTTAAACGAGAACCGAGGAGCCAAACCTGGAACAGTGGCCTTTACTCACTGAAAAATCATCCATTCCAACTACTCACATTACCAATGAGCAAGTACCAGATCTTCACCGTCGACGCGTTCACCGACAAGCCGTTCGGCGGTAATCCCGCTGCAGTTGTTCCTGTTCCTGCTGACAAGCCCTTAACTGATACCCAAATGTGTCAGATTGCTGTCGAGATGAACTTGTCAGAGACCGCTTTTATAGTCCCGACGAATGCCAGTGGACCCAATGCCTTCCAGGAAGCTTCACAGTTTGGATTGCGGTGGTTTACGCTTACTGGTGAAGTGAAGCTGTGTGGCCATGCCACGCTTGCTACCTCTCATGCTCTGTTCAGCTTGATGCATAACCAGTCCGATGAGCTGCGCTTTGATACGCTGAGCGGTGAGCTGGTAGTGCAGCGCAACTCGGATGGGCTTTTGACCATGACTCTCCCAATCGATCGTCCTCAGCCAGTTGCTGTTTCTGACGACATCAAGCTTCTTGCTGCTAGCGTCTTTGGAGAGTACCGCGACACTTTTGAGATTGAACTATCACCGAGGCTCAAGTATCTTGTTGTGCACGATCCCAATGCGACTGAGGGCGACATTGCTGGCCTGGTGCCCAATATATCGCCCCAGGTGTACGCTGCTGGTGAACGGCTGGGTCTGTTGCTTGTCATAGCTACTGCGAAGGGCACCAGCAAAGACTTCCACAGCCGGGTGTTTGCCCCTTGGGCTGGTGTCCTTGAGGACCCGGTTTGTGGGTCAGCACATATTGTCCTTGCGCCTTTCTGGGAGAAGCGGCTGGACAAGAAGGCGTTCTCAGTCACACAGGTGTCTAAGCGCCACGGAAACCTTGAGCTTAATATCGTCGGGGATTCGCAGGTTCAGATCAGCGGTACGGCTGTTACTGTCCTTGAGGGCATAATAACGGTTTGACATGTGGCTCCCAACACTATCCTCCACAGGACCTTAGGACACATGTTTCCTATGTTTACGACCAGCAATGGCCCCGATTCCTTTTTCAGGCGCTAAGGACGGTATCTAGGCTGGTATTCGCCTGCCTACCTTTAGTATCCTTCTTTTTCCATTCTCCGCTTGTATGCTTCCTACGTTCAAATACGTACCATGAAAGAATGCTTTGAAAGTAAACTTATTCGAATGGGCGCAAGGGCTATTTCACAAATATATCTACTACACAGGAAATAGCATGGCGAGTTCTTAAGATGTATGTAATTTCTATGAAATGTGCTTCGCACAATGGTTGTGAGATTCTGTAAAAAAACAACTAGCATGAGCCCTGGTCTATGTAAAGGAATGTCACACGATGTAGTAGTATAAATGGAAAGTAGACCCCTCTCTCCACACCTGTGTACATGGCCACACTGATATCAGAGATTAATCACCAATGTATTATAAAAGCCCACCATCTTGTATTAGCATATGCAAGGTTAGGGAGTGACATCAAGAGGCCCAACCAACCTGTCATAATATGCGACATGCGGCGAATAGCAGGTAAGAGCAGGACGTTTGTTTCCCATCTCTGCTTTATTCATTCACCATTTTGCACAAATTTCTGGAGAATGGCCACCATTAACTATCTCTCTGATACAATGTTGAGGATAATTCTATACCTTGTTACTAATCTTTTTGTGTATGATACCAAGGATGAGTATATTCACACAGCAGACCCCTCTCCGGCCCATGTTTGCAACAGATCGAAGAGAATACCACTTCTGTACCTTTATTCGCATGCATAAATTGACCTCTCTGTTAAAGATGAAGACACCAGTGTTCATCAGCTCAGCATTGCAAACTTTGGTATCATTTCCAATATCAGCCTAGCTGTGGAGAACGGCTTTTTGTATTTGGTTACCAATTTTTATCTATATGAATCTAGCTTATGTCTACAATTTTGATATTGTTGAGCTACTACGTAGTGAGCTGTTGGATAAAGCAGAATGGCCATCAACCGTTGGGCTCATTGTGGAAAACCATCTAAGCCTTTGTGAAACGGTTGCAATACCTGAAAACTTCGACATTGAGGGGAACACATTCGAATCGACATATATGCACTCATTTACCTAGGACTAACATCACTAACCTTTAACGCGGGTGGGTTTGACTACCCAGCATGCCCTATTTCTCATTTGATTAATATGGCGGTGTGCGGAACGGAATACCTCAGTGTTAATGAGGCACTAGTGCTGAGTTCACAAAAATATACTTTCTACCATGTCTTACATATCTTGACCTGGATGCCCAATTGTCCGCGATTCCTGAGGTTTATGCATCCTCTACCAAAGTTTTGATCCTGCGCAATGTTCCTTGGAATATCTCATGGAGCAGCATCAATTCGGACGATAAGGACCTGCTAGAACTCCATGAGCTAATGCCACTTAGGATTGGTTATCTTTATGCTGATTTCCATAAATATCGCTATACCACCTGGTTTTGGCTATGGTATGACTGAGGAAGAGTACACCACCTATACCCAATCCATATTCAGCCGGGTTTCAGTGGCTACGTCAGCCAAATTTAGCTCCAGTATCTATTTGCCTGCTGTCTATGGAGTCTGTCGGGGTGGACCAAACCAGGGTATTTGGAGCTACACACGTCTATTACCTGTAGCCCACTCAATCGCTTAATGCCTCAGCTTCTTTTGTATTTCTCTTCGCAGGCTATCGATCAGGAGGATGAATCAGATCAAACGGATAAATTCCCAACTATTGCACTCCATTTCCTATCCAGTCGCTCCTTCAGTGCATGCATGCAAATGGTGAAGGTGTTTGCATGAATCGTTAGATACGGCACGGAAGATGTAGACCAAAACTGGTTTCGAATCCACTGGTTCTTTTCCATCGCTTCTAGAGGTTTGCGTTCCCAATTTCTTCCCTCAGGTAATGCAGTATTATGTTGGATGGAATTCAGCCAGACCTGGCCTCCATCTCTCACTTTTGGAATTCAATAAAGCTTCCGACGATGAGGGACATAGTTCGATATCCTCGGCAATTCAGAATCCCTTTCTTTCCTTCATTCCCTCATATGGAGGCACCGCTTCAACGGTACCGAATTTTTTGAGGCTCGTTCAAGCCATTCTTCACTGCTTCCTGTTTTATTCTTGGCTTTCGATAGCAAACCATACTTGCTCTCGGTGCGCATCTGGACCGGCGAACATTGGTACCAAGGCTTGGTACCAACTGTTATATTTCGGATTAGATATCTTACGGGACTTATATTGTCCGGTCTAGCCTTCCTTGGTGTCTCCCTGGCGCTCGGTAGCTCAGCGGTGCTGCACGCACAGACAGGGCTGGGTTGAGAAGCCAGGGTCCCAGATCATGTGTTTGAGCTTGAACCATCCAATCGCTTGTCCTCGTTGGCTCCCCACACAATCTCCTTCTAGAGGTTTATCGATGCTCGCACAATGGGGACAAAACAAGATGGGCCTAGTCCTGCCCGCATGCTTTTTTTCCTTTGCTTTTTCCAACTCGGTTTTTATTTATTTACCAATGAGCCAGGGAGTTCCAATTAACCGGCGCACAAAGCAAGCGCGCCTACTGGGCAACAGCGACAACAACCAGCACGCAGGATCGTATCCGCCGCGGATGCGTCGCGAGATCGTAGTGCCACCGTCGGGCATGCACCGCACAGCCGAGCAGCTCTCGCGGCAGCGGCCAGCGTTCCGCACGACCAAGACAATGCAGAAGCTGAAGCTTCTGCCTGAGGACGACAACGAAGGTACGGATGCCGACGAGTACGTGGGCTTGCCAGGCGTATACGACCAGGTGGCGCATATGCGCGGGGCACAGGAGCTACGGGGAGAAATCAATAGGCTGAAGGCGCTGCCGCCGGGGACATTGCCTAGGGTGACGGCGTATGCGACAGCATCGTCGTATACGATGACCCAGCTGTTCAAGTGGATTGAGGGGCGACGGGTGCAGAACGAAGCGGCGCCAAAGCTGCTTGACGAGTGTATTTACTCGCCGTTTGTGTATGCACCGGCCGAGGCCATCACGATTGACGTGGAGCCGTCGCTGCTGGAGCCCGACTCCCATGCAGTGAGCTTCCGCGAGACGCACATTCCGATCAAGAGCGAGGTGTTTATATTTGACTATGGAGTGGTGGTGCTGTGGGGCATGGAGGAGCGGCATGAGCGCGAGTTTCTGCGCGAGCTGGAGCCGTTTGAGCTGGAGAAGGTGGACGAGGACGACATTGAGACCGAGGAGCTCGAGTTTTACTTCAATACACACTCGCAGTCGCGTGTGTACAATGACGTGATCTCGCTGCGGATGACCAAGGGCCATATGGCGAAGCTGGCAATCTCTCATGCGATTGCACAGGCCACGAAGCTGTCGCTGTACGAGGGGCTGGTGGACGAGACGATCGAGGCGACGCGGCACATCCCGCAGCGCATGGCCGAGTCGGGCACGGTAGGAAATGACGCGCAAGGGCCTGATCAAGAAGATCGGGCAGCTGTTTATTATGCGGGTGAACGTCAACCTTGTGAGCAACATCCTGGACACGCCCGAGATCTTCTGGTCAGAGCCCACATTGCAGCCGCTGTATGTGGCGATTCGTGAGTACCTGGAGATCCCGCAGCGCGTGGAGATCATGAACCACCGCGTCAGCGTCATTAGCGAGATGCTGGACATGCTCAATGGCCATCTGAACGGCATGCACGGCGAGTTCCTGGAGTGGATCGTGATTATTCTGATTGGTAAGTTTTGTTGTAGAAAACGTGCCAGCGCTGTCTTTGTGTCCCTATCGTTAACAGCCCTCCCTTCTCTCTCTGTCAAGTGCGCTATAGTTGTCGACATCTTTGTCATGGCCCTCGAGTGCCTGGTGTTTGCCATCGCAGACTAGTGTATTAAACATTTCTCCCCTTGCGCTCCACGCACTGAAACAAAGTAGGTGTCGAGATTGTCATTGGTGTTGTCACCATCACTATCGAAGCTGCCAAGCTGACAAATTGAGGAAGGTGACTTGGTATGGCGTTCCTGAGTCATGTGGTGATCTCCCCCTAGCCCTCGCTCTCCGGTCCGCACCCCCGCCAGTTCTTGCGCCCTATATAGCCAGGGGCTAGGAGCCGTATCTGTGCTCTCCCCACTAGCTTTTTATTAAAATACACTCATTCTCTTTTTGCCAATGGCCCTCGAGCTGCGCGTTTTCATCATCGACGCCTTCACGGCTAAGGCGTTTGGCGGCAACCCGGCTGCCGTCGTGCTCCTCCCGGCATCGCACTCGCTCAACGACTCGGCGCTGCAGCAGATCGCTAGCGAGCTGAACCAGCCGATGACAGCTTTCCTCCAGCCCTCAGGCGCCGACTACACTCTGCAGTGGTTCAATGCGCGCACCAAGGGCCGCGTTCTGTGGCCACGCCACTCTGGCCAGCGCCCATGTACTGCTCAGTATGCTTGACTTGCCGGTCACCACCCTGCATTCGCCGGTGGGCGCCCTGGAGATCAGCCGCCGGGACGAGCTGCTGACGCTGCGTCTGCCTAGCAGTCTGTCCGAGGAGGTCCATGGCGAAAAGTACCAGAAGGTTCTGCAGGCGTTCATGGGCGGCAGATTGCCGACCACTGCCACAGTGAGCTTCCACTATGCACAGGCAGTCAACGACCTGGTGGTTTTAATCGAGGGAATCGACGAGGCTGTGCTGCGTGCATGCAGTCTGACGCAGGAGTTTGCTGCGGCCAGCCAAGCGCTGGGTGTGCGCGCTGTAACCTTTGCTGTGCCTGGGACCGATTACGACAGCCTGGCGCGCGTGTTCCACGCTGGAGCAGTGCCCGACGAGGACCAGGTCACAGGCTCCGCCCACACCATCATCGCCCCGTTGTTCCATAAGCGCTTCGGCAAGTCCACTCTGCGTGCCTTGCAGTGCTCGGAGCGCGGCGGCGAACTATTGCTGGAGCTGTCCGACGACCATGTGCTGGTTTCCGGTACCGCCGTTACTGTGTTGGAGGGCAAGCTGACTGTTTAACTTTTCTTTTCTCTTATTCAGTTGTCTTGCCAGAACTTTTTATCGAAAGCTGCAATCATCTCTGGCTCGGTCTCGCGGAACCTATATAGCCATGACGTGAACCCGCCTGTCAGCACCTGGATGTTCTGTCCAAACAAGCGGGTCGTCGCCGGCCTGCCTTCTCCAGCCGCTCCTGGACCGCTTCATTGTAGATGCGGGCGGATTTGGGACCACGCACCTGAGACAATGCGCAGTGGAAGATTACTTCCGGTACACCCGCGTATCTTCTGCACCAGGGCCGCTGCCTGGTCGTGCATTTCGTGTGCGGGGACGTTGACAGCGCCAGGGATGTGGCCGCCGTTGTAGTCAGAGTTGCGCACATCCACCACTACATAGTCCTTGCCCGCGATCTTGGTCGGGTCCCGCACCAGCTCCGCGAGCTTGTCCACTGTGATGCGGTTGCTGACGGCCATGGTTCTGTAACAATGCCCACTTTTGTTAATGAGGAAGCGAGGAAGCGAAAATCGCAGCATTACAAGTTTTTTCGTTTTTGCTTTTGAATCTTCAGGGTACTGTTTTCCCCGTGGACTCGCACCTTTGTGGGTCTCAACAGTACTGTTGCCAACTGTCATGTTGTCAGGAAAACGTCCTATATTAATGTAGCCAAAAAAAAAAGATGTCGACCTGCTACCCGGCATGCTTGCGGGATGCAGATATAAGGCGATTATTAAGAGACTGTGTCTTAGCGACCTCTGGTCTGGCTCTAGTTCGAGCTAGCAACTCTATGTGTCCTGTGTCATGCGCAAACATCTCCCAAGAGGCATACATGCCTGGATGTTGATGTCCGAGTTCCAAACGCCTGGATCGAAGGACACAGAACCGCGAGAATTGCTGCCAGCCTGACGCGGTGGATGGGTTTGCACCTCGATCCCAAGGTAATCTCAGCGGTATGTAGCATCGGTGGGATCAATGGGCCTGAAGCAATTCGCCATACCAGCACCACTCATAATTTGGCATGCTGCGGTAATATGGCTATGTGTAAAATAGACACAACTGTATGTGATCTTGGGTGTTAGAACCCAGTGATGCTTGCGTAGTTTGCAAAAGTCGGTGCAATTGGAATCGGACGTGATCCAACTTGCTCTCCAAAGACAGTGCTCCTGCAGCAAGGTCGCGGAAAGTATATGTAGGAATGGGAGTGATTTGATCAGCAAAAGCAGTTCCTCCAGTGTGCATCTCAAGGTAGGGATTCGCAGCTCACGTAGCGTGTAAGAAAGCCTACCAAGATACAGCCTGGACTGAAAGGAAAGACAGGTGCTGGCGCATGTCAAAGGGTATTATAGGTGTGGTGCAAAGCGCGACAAAATAATTGCAGCACCTGCTTCTCTGCTATCAAGTCTTGGTCAAGGCTCCCATCCACTAGTTTCCAGGGATTCAATGGCTCCAAGCCACTTCCTGATAAGCAAAGTTGATGGTAGCATCTTGCCATGACTTATACACCTGTGCGGCTGGCCATTTAACAGTGATATATGTAGTGACTCTGCCGGTAAGAGGTAATGTACTTGTAGGGAATCTGATGTTTGAAGATGCGTTTGAGAATTGTGTCAGGTAGGTCGCTGGGCAAGGGAAGCCATGATAGCAGTACATAAAATCGAAGAATGAATCAGCTGGAGGTGAGAAAGAGCCTGCCAAGAAAATCAGCCGATTTTCACCAGCAAACGGTGACAGCTTGTATGCCTGGTCGTTTTGGGGTGCAGCTGAATCCAGGCTTAGTGAAGATACAGGCAATATGGAGTATATCCACAAATGGCTGTACAACATCACCTACATTCAGAGTGAATACATTGAACGGTAGGTCCCCTGGAGGACTACTCAGCTAGACTGCCTGTGGATATGCCAGATGGTGATGTTTATCCATGGAATATCCGTACCAAGTGCAATGTACAAAGCAGTCGTTTTTTGTCTGCGCTGTAAGAGGCGCTACTTCCTCTACTGACCTTTCACTCGTATCTCACGCCTGTAACTCGCAGCAAGGTGCGGTGTGCACTGTTTCGTCCAACCCATGTAGTGCTGATTCTAAATCTAGCAATCTATGGCCTTCTGGCCACTTTCAAATCGATCGGCATCCAATTTGTAATCCAATGCAGCTTGCTCGCCATGCTGACGTCAACCGTACGAAGGCATTCTCATGTCAGTACGCATGGAATTCCACGGCGCTATTGAAGTAACTGACTAGTCGATAGTACTCACTCTGTAGAGATCCTCGCAGTCATTGGCATATAAAAGCACAGTGCTGCCATCATGCAATCACTAACAACATCCACAGCCACCGTCAATTCCTTGTTTAAACAAATAGCAATGTCCCAGTATCCCACCTACATCATCGACGCCTTCACCAGCACTCCATTCCGTGGAAACCCAGCTGGAGTTGTGCTCCTCCCGCCTGATCAGCAGCTGCCTGATGCCCAGCTGCAGAAGATCGCCGGCGAGCTGAACCAGACCGAAACTGCCTTTGTCACGCCCACCAATGCTTTTGGACCGGACGCCTTCCGCACGGCCTCGCAGTTCGGTCTGCGCTGGTTCACACCGACACAGGAAATCAAGCTGTGTGGCCATGCTACACTTGCAACTGCTCATGTGCTGTTCACTTTCTTCGAAAATGTCTCGAGTGTCCTGCGCTTCAACTCACTCAGCGGTGAGCTGCGCGTGCAGCGCGCTGCAGATGGACTTCCTGGCTATGGTCTTCCCTATTGATGTGCCAAAGCCAATTGCAGTCACTGAAGATGTGCGCACTCTTGCTGCCAGTGTATATGGTGAGTATTTGCCAGATACCGAAGTCCTATATGCCCCGTCCCTGCGGTTCCTGCTGCTGCACAACCCGACGCTGGCGCTGGACACTGTCGACAAACTCACGCCAAACATCACGGGTGATGCCTACGCTGCTGGCAAGCGCCTGAACATCACTGGTCTGGTGGTCACCTCGCGCGCGAGTGACAAGGACTTCAAGAGCCGGCTGTTTGGCCCATGGATCGGTATCCCTGAGGATCCGGTTACAGGCGCAACCCACACTATCTTGGCACCGTATTGGGCCGAGCGCTTGGCCAAAAAGGTGTTTTCGGCAGCCCAGGTGTCGAAGCGTCGCGGGGACCTCGAGGTGGAAATTGTGAGCGATACTCATGTTCAAATTAGCGGCAAGGCGGTTGCCGTGCTCCAAGGTGTCATCTCAGTTTAACTAGCGATGCTTTATGTGTACCTGTGTCAACTAATTCTATATGTGGTTTTGTAACACGGGTACACATCAATGTATCTATGGCAATTTGTCAGCACCGGCGAGCTCGTGTGAAAATCGCCTATGCCAGATGTTTGAATCCAACAAAGCAAATGCATGTCCTAATTTATCTGGCCTCATGACCTAGGAACCCGTGCCCGCCGTGGTGGACATGGTTTTGCGCTCGCCCAACATAGGCCTATTCAATTTGGCCCGCTTCCCTTTCTCGCACATACATTCCACCACTACCCCCATGTACTCTAACCCACTTTGGTAACCATGGCAAGCTACCAGATATTCATTGTCGATGCATTCACTGACCGACCTTTTAGTGGCAACCCAGCCGCAGTCGTTCCAGTACCCGCCAGCCAGCCGATAGTTGGAACCAGGATGCTCCAGATAGCTGCCGAGATGAACCTGTCTGAGACTGCATTTGTTATTCCTAAGAATGCAAATGGGCCCAATGCCTTCCAGGAAGCATCTCATTTTGATTTGAGGTGGTTCACGCCAAAGAAGGAAATCAACCTATGCGGTCATGCCACCGCTGGCCACCGCCTATGTCCTATTTTTCAAGCTTCAGAACATATCTAATGAGCTGCGTTTTGACACTCTCGGTGGAGAATTAGTCGTGCGTCGTGGTACAGACGGACATCTAGATATGACGTTCCCTGTTGACATGCCCAAGCCAGTTGATGTCAACGATGATGTTAAGCTGCTCATCTCCAGCGTCTACGGTGAGTACCGTGACTCAATCGAGGTTGAGCTATCGCCAGCGCTCAGATTCTTAATCGTACACGACCCAGACACCACCAAGGATCACATAGTTGGTTTGGAGCCAAGGTTTTCGCCTGCGGCAATTGCTGCTGGTGAGCGTTTGAATCTAGTAGCGGTTCTGATTACTGCCAGAGGTGTTGAGAAGGACTTCCACAGTCGTGTGTTTGGTCCATGGGTTGGTGTTGGCGAGGATCCAGTGTGCGGCTCTGCACATACTGTGCTTGCTCCATTCTGGCACAGACGGTTGGGCAAGACCTTCGTTCTCTGTCACCCAGGTATCAAAGCGACATGGTGACCTTGAGGTTGAACTGCTTAGTGATACCCGCGTTCAGATTAGCGGCAAGGCAACGGCGGTTTTAGATGGTGTTATTTCAGTCTAGTTCATATCTCTCTGTGTTTTCCAATACCGCAGCAGCATTTCCAACACGGGTACACAGCAATTCCCACACCATTTGTCCGCACTAACAATCCCGTGTGAATAACGTGTGAGAATGGCACTAACAGCTTGTATTGGCGATATCACAAACGCAACGCAGCGCTTGGTCCAGTGACTCATAAAGCCATCCCAGCATGCCACTATTAGCCTGCGCCAGCAGTATTTAAACGAGAACCGAGGAGCCAAACCTGGAACAGTGGCCTTTACTCACTGAAAAACCATCCATTCCAACTACTCACATTACCAATGGGCAAGTACCAGATCTTCACCGTCGACGCATTCACCGACAAGCCGTTCAGTGGAAACCCCGCTGCAGTTGTTCCTGTTCCTGCTGACAAGCCCTTAACTGATACCCAAATGTGTCAGATTGCTGTCGAGATGAACTTGTCAGAGACCGCTTTTATAGTCCCGACGAATGCCAGTGGACCCAATGCCTTCCAGGAAGCTTCGCAGTTTGGATTGCGGTGGTTTACGCCTACTGGTGAAGTGAAGCTGTGTGGCCATGCCACGCTTGCTACCTCTCATGCTTTGTTCAGCTTGATGCATAACCAGTCCGATGAGCTGCGCTTCGATACGCTGAGCGGTGAGCTGGCGGTGCAGCGCAACTCGGATGGGCTTTTGACCATGACTCTCCCAATCGATCGTCCTCAGCCAGTTGCTGTTTCTGACGACATCAAGCTACTTGCTGCTAGCGTCTTTGGAGAGTATCGCGACACTTTTGAGATTGAATTGTCACCGAGGCTCAAGTATCTTGTTGTGCACGATCCCAATGCGACTGAGGGCGACATTGCTGGCCTGGTGCCCAATATATCGCCCCAGGTGTACGCTGCTGGTGAACGGCTGGGTCTGTTGCTTGTCATAGCTACTGCGAAGGGCACCAGCAAAGACTTCCACAGCCGTGTGTTTGTCCCTTGGGCTGGTATCCTTGAGGACCCGGTTTGTGGGTCAGCACATATTGTCCTTGCACCTTTCTGGGAGAAGCGGCTGGACAAGAAGGCATTCTCAGTCACACAGGTGTCTAAGCGCCACGGAAACCTTGAGCTTAATATCGTCGGGGATTCGCAGGTCCAGATCAGCGGTATGGCCGCCGCTGTTCTGGAGGGCACGATAACTGTTTGAATCACTTGCTTTCCTTTACTGTTGCCGCAGCAATAAATGGCTCCCCAGTTCCTACCCGGGTACACAAAAGTACACCAACAGCATTTGTCAGCAGAGCCATGTTCGTGTGAAAGAGTGTGAACATGGTATTCCGGATCTGCATAGGCGGTATTTTCCGCTACATGCTAGGAGTCGACCCTGTGACTCACGTGTCCGCCTCGCCGCATCCTGCTCATGCTGTGCAGAAAATATATAAGGTCTATTTGCCCAACCATATGCGGATGGTGTTTACCGCAAACCCCAAATCGCATTTACTTTCTGCTGAACCACTATGACCAAGTACCAGATCTTCACCATCGACGCGTTCACCGACAAGCCGTTCGGTGGAAACCCCGCTGCAGTTGTTCCTGTGCCCGCTGACCAGCCGCTGACTGAAACCCAGCTGAGCCAAATTGCTGCTGAGATGAATCTGTCCGAGACTGCATTCCTCACTCCCACCAATGCCAGCGGACCCAATGCCTTCCAGGAGGCTTCGCAGTTTAAGCTTCGCTGGTTCACGCCCACAACGGAGGTCAATCTGTGCGGCCACGCCACGCTGGCCACTGCATATGTGCTATTCAACAAGCTGGACAATATCTCTAGCGAACTGCGCTTTGACACTCTGAGCGGAGAGCTAGTCGTGCGTCGTGGTACAGACGGGTATCTAGATATGACGTTCCCAATCGACATACCCAAGCCGGTTGATATCAACGATGATGTCAAGTTAGTTGTTGCCAGCATCTACGGAGAATACCGCGACTCAATTGAGGTTGAGCTGTCGCCGTTCCTCAAGTATTTGGTTGTGCACGATCCGAACAGCAGCGAGAGTGACATCATCGGGCTGAAGCCCGATATTTCACCCGAAGCATATGCAGGCAGGTGAGCGTGTGGGTCTGGACGCTGTGCTGGCTAGCGCGAAGGGCAGCAGCAAGGATTTCCACAGCCGCGTGTTTGCCCCATGGGTCGGGATCCCCGAGGACCCGGTTACGGGCTCTGCCCACACGGTGCTGGCGCCATTCTGGCAGAGCAGATTAGGAAAGAAGACATTCTCAGCCGAGCAGTCGTCGAAGCGCGTTGGGCACTTGGAGGTCGACATTGTCAGCGACTCGCATGTGCAGGTCAGCGGCAGAGCAGTTGTGGTGCTGGAAGGGCACATCGATGTGTAGAAACAAGAACAGGGGTAATCAAGAATGGTCGACTGACGTCAGCGTCTAATTATAGCATCTCTAGATTCAACGTGTGCAGAGAAATGTATGGCTACCTTCGCCATTTTTGGAATAACGATTACCCAAAACATACAGGAAGTGCATGGTGGTCCATGGACAGGCGCTGGCGATGATATAAGCGAGAGGCAGGATCGCCGTTCTAGGTCCTATTTTTAGATTCCACACACCTTCATTTCTCGTACCAATGATGTGCTCTCTGCTTTCAGCAGGCGCAGGTCAGATGCATAAAGCCGACCATGCTGTCGGCATAAATTCATCCAGTATTTGCTTGCATCTTTGCGTCTCTTTCCACCCCACCACACACCAATCCAATACATTTTCCACAGCGCCAGCTGTCTGACAGCCACCATGCCCGGATACCACTACATCGTCTCGCTTTTCGGTACTAGCAAGATGGATGGTGTACGCGCCAGCATCTACATGTTCGACGTGATGCCAGCAACACAGGCCATGATGCAGATATCGCAGAATAACCAGTACCCGCGCAACTTCTTCTTGGCACGGACCATGGAGCAGTCCACGCGAATCCCCCATCTATGTGCTGCGCTGCTTTTCAAAGTTCCGTGAGCTCGACGTACCACCACTGACCAGCTTCGCTGCCGTCCATGTGCTGGTGCGCGAGAACCGCGTAAAGGCAACGACTATCCGTATTCGCGAGAACAGCAGTTTGACGACGTACAAAATCAGCTTGTCTGGACGTATCCAGCTCCACGGGATGCTGGACCAGACAGAGCACCGCGGCATCAAAGGGTCCAGAGCGGATTCTGCTACACGACTTGTTTGGCATAATGAAGCGTGGGCTCGAGCTCGAGTACATCGAGGCCAGCCAGACCCTTATCGTCTACGATAACCACTCGACCAAAGAGGACCTAGCACGCATGGCACCAAGGTCAACCAACTCAACAAATGACGCACTAGAGAAGCAGAAGATCCAGACGATCGTTGTGTGTGTCGAGGATCCGACTACGGGCGGAATCCATGCACGCGCGTTCTTCCCTGGAACAAAGTACACGGAGGCAAACATGCCGGTGCTCGCCACACCATATCTAGGCAGCCAGTGGACCCGCAAAGCTACCGCCAACTTTGTCGAGATTTCGTGGAGCATGCTCGACAGACACTGCCACATAATCAAGCAGACAGCGCCCGACAAGTCGATCGCCCTCATGACCAAGACAATCACGCTGCAAGCGTCGAATGCATAGACAACTCTCCGCTGCCCCACCAAGACCTTGTGATACAATGTACCGATATGCTTAATAAACCTGGAATTGGCCATGGACGACAAGACAGAGTAAATGGAGAATTTGCGAATGCGCCGAAACAAGTCGGGAGCAGGATTAGCTAGAAAATAGGAACTGCATGTCTTGCGACGACAGGTGCTCGAGCGCCTTGCTGTCGCGGCCGATGGTTGAGTCAGCCAGCCACTGCTTCTTCTTCTGCAGCTGGATGATGCGCGACTCGATCGAGTTCTCGATGATGATCCGCGTCACCTTGATCGGGCGGAACTGGCCCATGCGATGGATGCGGTCCATGGCCTGCACCTCGACTGCCGGATTCCACCAGCAGTCGGCCAGATACACGTGGCTAGCCTCGGTCAGGTTCAGCGCCACGCCGCCCGCCTTCAGACTGACCAGAAACACTGTGTATTCGGGCCGCGTCATGAATGTCTTGATGACAGCGTCCCGCTGCACCGGTGACATGCGACCGTCGAGTCGGCACACACTGAACCCCGCCCGGTTGAGCCGCCACTGGATCAGGTCAAGGAAGTTTACAAACTGCGAGAACACCAGGCTCTTGATGTTTGTGTTCGCCTGCCGGTGCCGCGACAGCTCCTCCACTAGCGCCTCGATCTTGGTCGAAGACCGCCAGTTGTTCATGTCAATTCGGTTGACAATAGACCGGCGGTAGACCATGGTCTTGGGCGTGCTCACCATCGAGTCCATCAGCGAGGTGCCATAGCCAGCGGAACTGCGCTGGCTCACTGCATTTGTCAGCTCGGGTTGCTCCAAATCGATCTCAAACAGCTGGTAGCAGGATGGACAGCGTAGCTTTGTGCCGACATCAGCTCCCTCAACATAGTGCTGTGCATCAACGCGGCAGAAAATGTGCTTGCACTTTGACAGAATTGGGTCCTCGGCTTCTTCCTGGCAAATGGTGCACACAAATGTATCGTCGCTGGCAGCGCCAGTCTTGTTTTTGGCGTCGACCTTTAAGCGCAGCAGGTCCGGATGGTTGGCAGCCAGTCGCATGCGTGTGATGAGCTCGAAGATATTGGCGTAGTTGTTCAGCACTGTGCCGTGCTCTGCATATGTGGTGAACTCGCGCTGGTAGTCGGAAAACAATGACACATAAAAGTCCTCCTCCTCGGGGCTGAATTTGTCGCGGCGCGTCTGGATAATACGCGGCGGTAGCCCCATGTCCTTTGCGCGCTCGACCTTGGTGCGCCGCAGCATGACATTGTCGAGCAGCTTGTTCAGCTTGGTGAACGCCATACGGCTCTTGTCGCTATTGATTGGGTTCTTCTGAATCGGGTTCATGATGTGGTAGTTCCAGTAGCAAAAGTGCGACATGTATGTGTGTGAGCACTGGCTGCAGGTCTTGCTCTTGTGGAATGGCCACGAGAGCGACGTGCAATCGCTCTTGTAGTTGAAGTACATTGCAAAGGGACTGCAGCGGGTCATCCGGATCAAGGAGTATAGTTCGCCCACACGGTTATGAAGAGGGGTGCCAGTCAGCGACCACGTATACTTGGCTTTCAGCTCGAACGCTGCACGAGCAGAATTGCTGGACCGGTCCTTGATATTGTGTGCCTCATCAAGCACGATCCGGTGCCAGTCGACTTTGTGCAGCACCGAGTCTTCATGCAGCAGGTTGCCATGGCGGCGGAATCCATAGCGCTCGCGCCGAAACGACGATTCGACCACCGCATAAGTGGTAAGCACAACGTCGTATTTCACCAGCTCGCTCGGGTTGAGATCCCCGTTCTCGTCAGCAAGCTTCTGGCGGTCTGTGCCATAGTACATGAACACCGACAGGTCGTCGGTAGCCGCCTCGATCTCAGACTTCCACTGCATCAGCGCTACTGTCGGACAGATTACCAGCGTCGGCTTTCCACGATTGACCAGCATCAAGCCGATGGTCTGCAGTGTCTTGCCCATGCCCATCTCGTCAGCCAGCACCCCACCGCGGAACTGGGTGCCCTCCTGCCGTGCCATCCACCACACGCCCTCGCGTTGGAACGGCAGCAGCCGGATCTTGAGGTTGGGCGGCTGCTCGACCATCTGCATCTCGGGTGGTCCAGGCAGCGACTTCCATGCGGATTTCAGTTGCGGGTGGTGGAGGAACAGCTCTGGGCGGTGAAAGTAGTCCAGGTCTCCTTCGGGAGGAGCATCGATAGGAGGGTCTTCTTCCTTGACCTTTGGCCGTTTCCGAGCCCTGGCGCGAGACGCCTTGGATCTGCTAGAAGCTGATGCTCGTGCCGGCCGAAGAGCAGATGTCAGCTCCTGGACGCGGCGAGTCAGTGACGAAATAGTCTCGGCAAGCTCGCCTCTTCTGGATGCATATTCTCTCTTCGCCTTTTCGTGCTGCTGTTCCAGCCTGCCCCTCTGCTCGGTCTGGTCCTTGACAGCAGTGTCTTGCCGTTCCTCCGACTCCCCTACGCTATCCCCATCAGTGTCCGTCTGCTCATCCGATTCACCAAACCCCTGCCCAAGCACATTTAACTGGAGGTTGGTCGCTCGCTCATTGCGCAGCAGTTCCTCCAGCTCGTCATAGAGGGCAGCCCTTGCTTCTATGGCTTCAGCAAGCTGATCTTCAAGCTCAGCTTCAGTGGTGCTCTCTGGCCCCGCAGTCTTCCGACGCCGGGTTGGTGGTTCCTGGAAGTCGCTCTCGTCGCTGCCAGAATCATCGGAGCTCTCACTGACAAAGTCACTGTCGTCATCGCTGACAGCAACTAACTCCTGTGGCGAGGCTGGTGTGGCAGTTCCGCTGGACGAGCTGTGGCTCCCGGCTGATGTCGGTGCGCCGGATGAGGCAACCAGCGTGGTAGCAGACGAGGACGTAGTGATGGGCTTGATCGGGCAACGGCCCCTGTGTTTTTTGCGCAGGACCGCCGCAGCAGGCGCAGGCGCAGGGTCAGCTGCCAGTGAACGACTTTTGGATCGGGTAGTAACCATCCTTTTTGCTTCTTGCCTGCAGGAACTTTGTGTGAAAAAACTGAAGGTAAAGGAGCAGAAATGTATGCGTCGTGCCCTTTACCACCAAAGAGTACGAATTAAAAACTGCGGAATGCAGCGATGGCGCAGGCGGTTTCCATTGGGCGAACCGCTGATTACATCCTGGGTGGATTAATCCTCGCTGTGGAGAGTCCGCCTGGCTAAGGGCATAAAACCGTGGATTTTGGACTGCACCCACGGCTCTTTTCTTGTATTTTCGTCTTCATTTTACAATAATTTACTATGGATTGTGGAACTGGCGCTGCGGCAATTAAGCTAAAGAAGGAGTTTATAAGTAAGTTGGGCGCGACCAGCCGGCAGTTGGCAGTCCAATGGCGGCAGCATTTTGAGCAATGAGCACTAACCAGCACAAAAACACATCCCCTTCTCAAACCTCTGCATTTGCGCGACATAGAGCTTCAGAAGGAGCCATGCGACGGCTTCTCGGTGGGTCTTGTGGACGATGACAACATTTTTGAGGCAAGTAGCATGCACAGAGCAGCGAACCCGGGGCGGATACTATTGCATTGCAACGGCATTGGCATCTGCTGACTAATTTGCTCACACATACTCTTGCAAAAAGCGTGTAGTGGGAAGTCACGGTCATGGGTCCGCCAGAGACATACTACGAGGGCGGCTTGTTCTCAGCGCGGATGACGTTCCCGACCGACTACCCGATGCGGCCACCCCAGCTGCGTTTCAAGAGCGAGCTCTGGCATCCGAACGTGTACCCTGATGGGCGCGTGTGCATCTCAATCCTGCATCCGCCTGGCGAGGACGCCATGGGCTACGAGAGCGCCGACGAGCGCTGGTCGCCGGCACAGACAGTGGAGTCGGTGATGCTCAGCATCATCTCGTTGTTTGCCGATCCCAACGACGAGTCGCCTGCCAACCCTGACGCCGCCAAGCAATGGCGCGAGGACAAGCGGGGGTACAAGAGGCGTGTCTTTAGGTGTGTCGAAAAGTCGCTTGGAGGCTGCTGAAGAGGGGGTTTTGCCGTTTGCTATCTCCCATGAAGTCGTTAGAAATGAAACTACAGCTTCGTCTATAGAATTCGAGGGCCAAAAGAAAACCATTTATTTCTTAAAAGCTTGGGTGTGGGGTATGAGGGATGAGTCAAAAGATGAGGGATTGCATGAGATGGTATAGCACTTAGACAAAGACGACAACGACGACACTCGGCCATGTCGACCGCGGAGATGCAAGGCCATAGGCCAGGGGCATAAATGAGGGGAGATGTGGCCACGAAGAGCCGCATGGGAGGACAGAACGAAAATAGAACAAGACGGAGAATCCCCGTCCATCCACTACTCGCACTCCCATTACGACATGTTGCTGTCGAGCTGCTGCTGCTGCTTCTGCTGAGCATTGAGCGACAGCGTGGCGAGAGGAGTGTCGGACAGGCTGGCTGATGTCACGATCGGCATGGAGGTCGACGATGTGACTGCAGAGAGCACTTGCGAGAACTGGCTATAGTCGATGCCGCTCAGACCAGCTGATTGGTTCGCCGCACCAGCCTGCGGGATATAATTAGGCATGCTCTTCTGCTCGTCCCAGCCGCCCGGCGCCGCCGTAACGCTGGCCATTGCTGACATGTCAATGACATTGCCCAGCGTCACCGCCGGGTTGACCGACATGCCAGCCATCACCTGCTGTTGCTGGGCCGCCGTGGCATGAGCCACAAAGGCCGCTGCCGCTGCTGCCGCCGCTGCCGCCGCCGCGCTATCGCCAGATGTGTGCATCTGCGGAGCGCCCATGCCCATCGTCAGCGAGGGCATCTGGGACAGCAACGGCGCCGAGGCAGGCGACATGTTGAGTGGTGAGTGATCGATGGACCCGCTGTCGCTGTGTGACGACGAGCCCGTGCGAGCCGCAATCAGGGCAGCACTGGTGTTGACCCGCAGCGCGGCTGGTTTGATCTCGTGGATGTGCTGCTGGTTCCGAGCAGCAAGCCCTGCCGACTCCTCGGCGAGCGACTCGGCTGTGACGACGGACCTAAGCGGGCTGCACGCCTTAGCGTCGGCCTTGCCGGTCACAATGTCGTCCAGCGAGGGAAGGATCTCAGCCGGCTCACCAGCATCAGCAATGGGCTCCAGGCCCAGCTGCTGGCGCAGGCGGTTCACCTCGTCGTGCAGCGCCAGGTTGCGCAGCTGCAGCTTCTTGATGTACTGGTCACGGTTGTTGAGATGGTCCTTGAACGACCGGATGTAGTCGAGCGACTTCTCCACGATCGTCGCCTTGCTCGGCCGCCGCACATGGATCAGCGATGGCACTGCCGACGCCAGATCCTGGAACTGCCCGTTCAGAGACTCGCGCCGCGCACGCTCAATCGCATTATGCGTGGCGCGTCTCTGTGCGTGATCGATGCCCGAGACCGACCGGCCGCTGCTCGGGGACCGCCGGTGGAGGTCCGGACCGACTGCGCCGCCTGTGGTCGCGGCGTTGATTGTGGCCGCTGCGGCAGCTGCTGCTGCGACCGAGTTGTTTGCGACCAGCGTCTGTTGGGCCTGGTGCAGGTGGGCGGTGTTGACTGCCATGGGCGTCGTCGAATAAAGGGTGGCGGCGGCGGCAGCATGTGGATTGTGGAAGTACGTGGCTCCCGCATGCTGTGGCTGTGCGCCAGGGGTCTGCATAGCCGTGCTTTGCTCGCCAGTGAATGGGTCAATGAAGACCATATTGGGTGGGTTCGAGAACGACATCATGGACTGCTGTAATTAACACCGGGTCTTTGTTGTTTGCTTGTTTTCCGCTTTCTGGTTACCGGAACCAACTAGGGTAAGAAAATGAGCGAGGGGAGGGATGCCGAAAGGAGTCTGTATCAATATGGAATCGCACTATTTTCTTCCTGGGTCAACCGAACGAAAGAAAAATAGAGTAATATGCCAAAACTGCAAAGACAGACTATGAAATAAATGAGAAGCGGGGGATAAACACACACACGAGAGGGCGCTGGGTGGGTTTACGGAGGAGAGGGAAGGAGGGGGGATGGAGTGAGAGAGGGAAGGGGAACTATGCACAGTGGACTCAGGGGGCAGGTTTGCTCGCGCTCAACGCTGAGACAAGGGAATAAGAGGGAAAATGTTTTTTTGGCCACGAAAAAGAAAAAAGCAGAGACAAGGAGCAGCACAGACTGGGTCTGAGGAAACCCGCCGAGTATTTGAAGCGCAGGAGCAGCGGCAGCTGTGTTTGTGTGGGGGGAGGGACCTGCAAGGACGAGTGTCTCAGAGTCTGGAAGGGCGAACCTATTGCGCCGCCTCCCAGCAGTTGTCAGAAAGAAGAGAGAAAATTATGCCCAAAATAATGATTTGGCGCTGTGGATGTAGATCGCTTATTTTTTTACTGCTGCCGTTGTTTTGAACAACAGAATTGGGAAAGCGAGCAGCGCTCGGAAGGGCGGAAAAGCTCTCGGATACAAGTGTGTGAATGGCGATTGCCCGGTTCGCAAAACGGTCTCAGCGGTCCTCTTGTGTCACACAGTGACGATGTGGGGATGAGTGGGCTGGCTTAATTTATCTGCCACGGAACAGTTCGCCACCGATAAATAAAAACGCCTGTGCGCCGGTCGATGGGAATAGTGTAAGTGCTATAATAAAATTATGCGGTTGAACGTGTATTCACAAGGCCGAGGGCAGGAAGAAGGGAATAAATAGAGTCCATTTTTAGCTTCGCCATGTCCATATGCTCTGCTATTTATTTCCCACACGCGCCCCAGCCGCAGAGCGAACATGGGCAGCCCGCTCTGCAGAAGAGAATAAAAATGAGTGGTCAAATGGCATTTCGCTGACTGGCTGATTCTGCTGCTGCAGCAAGTGTTCGAAAACCCGCTGCTGCCCTTCCCATTTGCACTCTCTAGACATGTTTTATTGCTGCCGCTGCATTACCGCCCATGCACTTTGTTCTCGCAGCCCCTTTTTCGAACCCGTACCACCTGACACATAGCCATGTGACGCGCTTTGGTACATGAGCCCTTTTGCCGCAGACGAATCATCGCCTTTTGATCCCTCATCCTCACACCCTGCCTCCCCCCGACTGTCAGTGCACAGCGTCTTGTCCATTCACCAGCCGCCGCCACCGTATTAGCACCTCCCTCATTCTTCCTTGCTCGGACTTTCTGCAGCTGCAGAATCCGGAACAGTGGCTCATATGTAACCCTGTCCCCGAGTTGGGAAAAAAGATTCCTATTGTTGTTGTCTATCCTGGTACCTTGGCATTCAAAATCAACCAATGTCTACAGTCTTGACGATCAGCAAGCACCGTCAACTCGCCAGAAATCATAGGACGTGCCACTGCCGGAATCTGCGCGACATGCCGCGTAATTTTCTTCTCCAGCAATAGAAGAAATCCTGTAAAAGGCGCATCCTCTCCTCTCTGCCAGGAGTAGATCTTCCACTTACGCCCGGCGCAGGCTGTGTTGCCTGCGAAAGAAAATTGTGTCAGATGACCTCTGACGCAGCACTCTGGCAGAGAATAAGTCGCTCATTGTTCGGGAGAAGGAGCCAAAATTCGTACTCGCTCATAATGCCCAGGAGACGTGAGCCTTGTGATGCGGCGTATATTAATCATCTCACCTGTTCCCTCATTCTGCCTCTTACCGCCCTTCTTCAGACGGGCATTCCGGCATTTAGTCCGCAATAAAAAAAACTTCTTTTTGGGCTGCGCATATCCGGTTTTGTTTTCGTCCTCCTCAATAAACACCGCTCTGCACCGATAATGACCAGTGCCATCGGTACTTGTTTTTTTTTTCTCGCAAAAAGAGGGATGCAAATATATGCATCTTGGCAATGAACCTGCGCAACGGACATTGAATTCTGCTCCGCCCTGCCACCCCTTTAGTCATGAAACGCCCAGCAAATGCGTGGGCTCTCGGGGCTTTAACCTTAACAACAGGCCCACAAACATCCTCCCCAACAGCAGCACTGCTTGTCGACCGGTGTTCATCCCTGTTGCCTTAAATGCGCCAGAGATTTCTCGGTCACATCAAACAAACCAACCTCGAAGCCTGTCAACTGGATGCAACTTTTCAACAGCCTGGTCATCCCCCTCCCCCTCCATATTCGGAGAAAGCTTATAGCGCATACGACTATCACAACAAACAGCATTCCTCCGCAGGGGGTGGATCGAAACGAAATCGAAATACCAGCAGATATATGATTTGAGATCTGATCTATTTTGGACATAAAACGGCACCTAGTGCTGGTTCATCTGCAGGCGCTTGACAATGAACACGCTGGTGTCGATGAACCGCCCAACGCAGTTCTCCATGCAGCTCTTCTCCCGGCTGTCAAGCTGGTTCGACTTTGCGTCCTTGATGCACGTCTCCCAGCACCGGCCCGTGAACTCGTGAATGTTGCTCTGCAATTGCATCTTGGCCGACTCCTGCTCGACAAATGCCGAAAGCTCGCGCTGGGTCGCCTGGTCAAAGTTGCCCGACATTGCTGTAATTGTAAAAAATAACTGAGGGAAATGGAGAAAGCTGTGCAGCTGGAACAAGCCGGAAATGCAAAGACGCGTGCAAGGCAAGTGCTTGCTGTAAGCTGGCTGGTGGTGGCAGTGCTTGATCTCAACACTATCTTGCTAATACATACTGATCGATTACTTGAGATCAGCCGCTGTATGTGTACAAATGGGGTGGCGCACATTAGCAATTAGCCTTCTGGGCGCCACCAAGCCATATATTACTTTGACCTGAACTGCAGGATAAAGTCTGCTATTACGCCAATTGACTGCCGTGATTTAGGCACAAAGTGGCCGCCGACATAACAGTACTCGTGCGCATTGGCAAACGCGTTCATCAGGTCGACCGAGCGGCTGATGTGGATCATGCTATCGACCACGCCATATACGTGTAGCGACGGCGTCTTGAGCGGCCTATCGTACAACCACGTCCATTTCGCATCTCTGAGCTTATATCCAGATGCCAATACAGCGAATTTGAACGGTGGGTGGCCGGTATACACGCTATTTTCGATCAGTGAGCACATAGCAGCGGCCATCAGCGCGCCCTGGGAGAACCCAAAGATGCCGTCAAAGGGGCCCAGCTCCTCGAGCATACCCTGGAGGTACGCAACGCTGTTTTCGAGGCCATGGGTGATCTCGGGAGTATCGCTGAGCTGCGTATACCAGCCATGGCGCACGCGCGATATTGTGTTGCCCGACTGAATCAGCGATTGCTGCAGCAGGCTGTCCATGCCCGAGTAGTCGAAGGGACGCAGAACATTTGGTGCAGTAGCAAACACGAATTCAACCTGCTCGGCCATCTCCCTCACCAGGTGCTTGATCTTGACGCGAAACACGCTGGCATCCTGCTCATATCCGTGCAAACACAACACGCGGAGCTTGCTTGTGCTGGTATCGACTGGCATTGCCCCACGAGTCCTATTCAGTACTGGCTAGAGTAAAATGGAAAAAGCAGAGGTGAGAAAGCGAATGTAATAAGCAGTGCACTTGATAAGAAAAAGAAATAATGTCGTTGACAATACGCCTTCATTGCACTTCACAATCAAGAATAGTCGTCGGTGGCGTGCGTTGTTTGAATTGCGAGCCAGGCGGGGGACAGGACGCCACCATTAATTTGACTCGGGCTCCTCGTCGACCGGAATAAACGGCTTGAGGAACGCACGCATTGCGCGGCGGCAGTGCGGGGTGTTGGGCAGGAAGTGGCCGCCGACGAACTCGTAGATGACCGGGTCAGGGAACCGGGACGCCAGCTCCCTAGACCCCTTGATATCGATGACAGTGTCCAGCGTGCCCATCATGTGCATGCTGGGCGTTGTGAACGGAGTGTCCAGCACCTTCCGCAGCTCGCCAATCTCCATGACCACGCCGCCGGACAGCATTATGAACTTGAGCGGCGGATGGTCCACGGGAACGCCGAAATCGTATCCCTCGCGGCCCTCAAGCAGAGCACAGATCAAGGACGCAAAACAGGCGCCTACAGGATAACATCACATTCTTCTGAGAAACTGCCTCTGTCTCTGCCTCTAGCTGACTTTGGAAAATTCCCCTCTTTCCTCCAGAAACAGGGGAATATCTGACAAATTAGCGGCACCAACTGTACCTTGCGAGAATCCGAGAATTCCGTCAAACGGACCCTACACGCAACAGCCAAGCACGGGGAGGTTCTCATTAGTGACCATGGGCCATCACCAGCCTGAATGGGGAATGTAGTGGGCTAGCAACCTTACCTGCTCGTTGAGGATCTGGGCAATGGCCTTCAGGCTCTTGTCGAGGCCGCGCACCTCAATGCGCTGGGCGCTCTTGGTCCACCACCAGGAGAAGTTCCTGAAGTCGTTTCCACCGTTCGGCGACAGCAGCTCCTCGGCAGTAGCCCGCAGGATGCCGACATCAATGGGCGCAGTAGGATAGACGAGCTCGGCGTTGTCCCCAACCACCCGCCTAAAGTTGCGCGACTTGATCTGGAACAGCTCGCCGTTCTCGGCGTATCCGTGCAGGCAAAGAATCTTGGGCTTGGCAGACATGGGGGCTTTGGTTATGTGTAAGGGTTTAAGTGTGCAAGTTAAGAAATAGCGCTAATCCAAACGGACGAACCCCCACTGGCAAGAATGCGCCCTGGCTTGTATTTATGGTGGGCAGGCTGCCCCTGCGGTGGATGACCCCTGCGGTGGATGACCCCTGCGGTGGATGACGGCTGGCGCTGCTGTGGCCCACTTGGAAGAAAAACAAACGCAGCGCCCCCTCACCACGCATAAGCCGAGGCGCCTCCATTCGACGCGCTTCGCCAGGCTTCTTCTTCCCAGGCAGACAGGTGGGGGCAAAGGCGCTAGGGCACACAGGAAGCAGGCGTGACCTGGCCAAGCCAGCAGTCCTAGAACGAATCTGTGGTGGGAAAAAGACGCTCAAGGAGGCAGCCACGACACAAAATCAGTGGGAAAAAACGGGCAGTGCCTCAAACCGATTCTTATCTTCCTTTTCCTGGTTCTCCCCCCCCCCTTACCAGGCTTACAAGCAAAACAGAACGGACTGCACATGGAGGCCGAATTCCCCACGGTCAGCGAAATAGCAAAGCACGACGAGCGCCCACGCATCTCCGGGTTCGAGGACCTGGCGTTTGGCTCGCTGGCCGGCATGGCAGGCAAGTTTGTCGAGTACCCGTTCGACACAGTCAAGGTGCGGCTGCAGACCTCCGAGTCGCAGGTGTTCTCGGGCACGCTGGACTGCCTGAAGCAGACATGGCAGAACGAGGGCTTCCGCGGGTTCTACCGCGGTCTGGCATCGCCACTGCTGGGCGCCATGGCCGAGAACGCCGTGGCCTTCTACGCCTACAACCGCATCCAAAGCATCATCCGCACCGCAACCAACAACACTGGAAGCGAGCTGACGCTGCCGCAGCTGTTCCTGAGCGGCGGCCTCTCGGGCACCATCTGCGCCTTTGTCATATCGCCGGTGGAGCTGGTCAAATGCAAGCTGCAGGTGGAGAATGTCCAGGCATATGGCGGAGCAGCCAGCACAGCCAATGTGAAGTTTACGGGACCGATTTCCGTGGTCAAGCACTTGCTCAAGACCCAGGGCATTGCGGGCATCTACAAGGGCATTACGCCGACTGTGGCCCGCGAGACCGTCGGCGTGGGCTGCTGGTTCGGCGCCTACGAGGTCGTGGTCCGCCAGCTGATGCGCTCGCAGAACAAGGCGCAAAAGTCAGACCTTGGCCCCGGCAGCATCATTCTGGCCGGCGGATGCGCAGGCGTTGCCTACAACATCTCGTCGTACCCGATCGACGTCGTGAAGTCCTTTATCCAGACCGCCGATGTGCGGGCCACCGCTGGTGCTCCTGAGCGGCCAGGCATTGCCAGCACCATCCGCACAGTCTACGGCCGCGGCGGCATCCGGGCCTTCTACCGCGGCCTTGGCATCACCCTGGTGCGGGCCTTCCCAGCCAACGCCGCCATGTTCATGACATACGAGTACCTGTCTCGCCTGTCCATCGAGCTGCGCCAGAAATAGACACATAGAATGGACCTTTGTTGAATTTGTAATAGTGACTCATGGGAAAAATATCTCAGGCAGAGGCCAGAGCTAGCGGTGCATCGGCCGCGTTCGTGAGCTGGATCTCGGGATGGAACTGGTAGTACAGCTCGCCAACGTCCTCGAGCGGGTACGGAACCCAGCCGTTCTCGTTGACCCAGTACATGCGCACAACACCTCCCGAAAACGCATCGCGGTGTGTCGCATGGTAGATGGCGCGACGGGCCAGATCCTTGGCCTCGTCGACCGACATGTCATACCTGTACTTTGAGTCCAGCACGCCGTAGGCAAACGTCGACCCGGATCCAACCGAGAACAGATCGTTGGCTACCCGCTGGCCCTCAGAGTCCACATAGTACAGCCCCGGGCCCTTCTCGTCCCAGCCAGCAACCATGGTCCCCATAGACAGCCCCATGCCCTTGTACCGGTACACCAGGTTTGCCAGCAGCTTCGACGCCGCCGCAACCGAGATCCGCTTCTTGTTGCGCAGCTCATACAGCCGGCACTCCATCCCCAGCACGCGCTCCCAGAACGAGCAGTCCGCTGCTCCGCCTGCCATCGTGCCCAGCAGGTACGGGTTGATTTCGATGACCTTCTTCACCGACTGCGACGCAATAACGTTGCCCGCCGTCGCCCGCGAATCCGTCGCAATCATCACGCCCTCCTTGAACTTGAACGCCAGTGTCGTGGTTCCGTGCGCAATTTTAATGCGAGCGTCATTCTCAGACTTCACATCAGTGAACTTTTGCGTGAACGCCGCTGGGTTATCCACTCCAGCCAGCTCAAACTGCAGCCCGTGCCCTGTGGTGTCCACTGCCGTGCTGAACTCTGTGTCGAGCTCGCCGTTGTTTGTCAACTGGTCAATAAAGTGGTTCATTGCTGTTATAGTTGGAAAAAAGTGAGTAGAGTGAACGATTTTGCAAAAAGGAGAGAAATTAGTCAATTGCAGCATCAAGCCCTCGACGCGCGGACGGCTCTGAGGCATACGTAGGCATTACGCACGTCCTTGATCACGATCACCCACCCCTTGATTTATTTGTCCGCTTGAACCATTGCGAGCGCTGGATACCATGACATACCAAACCCCTGCTGCACTTGGCTCTCTCACAATGTATACTCAAACGCTGTCAAGGTCATCTGGGATTTCAAATGCCTTGTTGAATACAGATGTCTCCATGTTGAACTTGTCGCGAGCCCAGCCTTGGATAATAAAGATGTTGTCGGTCCATCGATTAGCAGCATCCTGGGCCACCACAGTCTCCTTGCGACGCTGGTTCATCAGCTCCGGATCGCACTCCTTGAACTGCTGCAGCTCCTCCTGCTGCAAATTCCACCTGGCCTCGATCTCCGCCAGTTCCTCCATCAATGATGCCCGCTCGTCAGTCTGCTCACGCCCAAACTGCGCCTTCTCAATCGATGACCCCAATGCCTCGATCTTGCCGTCGACTTGCGCGATCTCCTTCTCCAGGTCGGCAATTCTGTTGCGTCGCTTGATTGCTGCCTCGCTTGGGAACGACCAGAAGTAGTTTGATGAGCCAATCTTCTCGGCATGGCACATGCCGTCGTCCACCAGTGACTGCACCACGTCCTTGACTGTCTGCGCGACAATTCCCTTTTGCTTCGGCCCGATCTTCTCCAGCTCCTTGAGAAGGAACACATCTTGCTACAGGTGCTGAGTTGCGCATGGCTTTAAGTGCATGCACTGTATCCAACAGCTAAAGCATACGCCAGCTGCAGCCTCTGATACTCACCGACTCGTGGAATATGTCCATCATGCGCTTGCGCTTCTCGTCAATAGTCAACCGCGGTCCCTACAACAAAGCGAGCATGCAGTGAGCGTGCGTGCCCTAAGGGTCCCCTCGTGCGGAAACGATGCGTTCGCCGAATTTCGCTCGTTACCATTGCTATTCAATTTGCGCTAAAAGTGAAAAATAAAAAAGACGGAGCCAAGATGGGGGTCGAGCAGCAGCAGCTACGCGAATCCAATGTATCTCGAGAGAAAAAAATACGGCGACTGCGGAAAAGCTCAGATGCCCTTTTTGTGCTCTCAACGCCTGCGCTTTTTGGAGGGCGCTGACATGCCATCAAACGACTCGGAGTTGACGCCCAGCGACCGCTTGCCTCTGGCCTGGGAAGTATAGCCCGTCGGCGCAGACGCAGACTCTGCATTGTCGTCGCCCTCCTCCTCTTGCCTAGGCTTAGCTACAAAGGTATAGACATGCGGCTCCTTGTCGCGAATCTCCTGGTTCTCGTCCTTGGACAACCCTTCCTTGAAGCCCAGAGTGCGCCGGTGCTCGTATCCCGGATAGGCCGCAATCTCGAATGGATGTGTGCTGCGCGCACGTAGGCCGCATTCCTTGGCCAGCTGGCGGACATTCCAATGCGAGTACGGCGGACCGGACTTTAGCGATACCAAGATCTGCCCGGGCCGGTTCAGGTTGGGCTCAAACGGCTCTCCCTCACCAGCATCCTCCACCGGCCCCTCGTCGTCCTCGTCGTCAGAGGCAGCATACGTGACAACGTGGGCCTTGGCACCCTCAAAGTCGAACGACTCCTGCTGCTGCTCGTCCTCCTCTTCGTCGTCATCGTCGGACTGGTCGCCCTTTGGCCTCCGTCTCTGGCGCCTCTGTGGCCTGCTCTGTCTTGTATCAACACCCTCCGTCAGGAACTGAATCGCACTGCGGAAGAACCCGATCATCAGCAGCTGGTTCGTCTGGATATTGCGTGCCTGGTCTTTGATCCCAGCTCCAGCGTGAGGGAAGTTGAAGACAATATGCGTGAACTTTCGGCCGCTGAGCGCTTCAAAGTCTTCGAGTGCTGTTCCGTCAACCTCATAGTGCGTGGTGCCGCCCAGCTTCTCGAACTCGGTAATGTGGTGGCTCGCGTCGTCTGTGTATTTTCTGTCAACGATCTCCCGCGAGTCATAGGCGGTTGCAGTTATATTCTTGCCGCTACCCAGGCGCCTGGCCACGGCATGGGCGAAGCTAAAGTTGCCTTCGCCGACCAGGAGAATGAGGTCCTTGTCGGTGTATGGAAAGTAGGCGGTGCGCTTGTGCTTTTTCTTGTTGCCGCGCTTGCTCTGCGTTGCACTGGCCAGCTTCTGCTCGATCTGGTCCTGCGTGCGTTTTGCTGCCTGGTGCTTGGCATGCGCCTGCTTGGTATGCTTGAGCGCAGCCTTCAGCTTGCTCTTCTTTGCCATTAGCTAATGTAAATTTTGGTGACTGAAAGGCGAAAAGAGCCAGGGTCTCTGGTGGGCCAGCAAGCGAGAACCACAGCGAAACCCGATTTTTTATATTACGTGATCAGGGATTAGCCTGGCCAAAGGCTCTCAGTAATCGCCTGCTGTTTTTTCTTTGCACAGCTGCGATCTCACCCACTTTGATATTTCCAGCCTTTATCTCTCCTCATTCACAACCCCCTCTCTACAAAAACAGCAAGCAATTAGACAAAAATGTTTGGCGGCGTTTTCGGTGGCAACAGTCAGAAGCCTGCTCCGGCTGCTCCGGCAAGCCCCATGGGCGGCATGGGCGGAATGGGCGGTGCGCCCGGCGGACAAATGGATCCCAACGCACAGCTGGCGGCAGCCGAGCAGGAAATGGAAATGGTCACAGACATGTTTGCGCGGCTGGGCGAGCTGTGCTACCAAAAGTGCCTCCTGCAGCGCTACAGCGACGAGGAGCTGACAAAGGCCGAGTCCGTGTGCACTGACCGCTGCGTAGCAAAGTACTTCCAGGTCAACCGTGAGGTCAGCGAGAAGCTGGCCAAGTACTCGCAGGCTAACCAGCAATAAGACTTGTTTCTTGAGCCGGGAATAAAACATATAAAAACTCTTATTTTTTGCCCCGCGCTTCCTGCCTAATGTACGGCGTCACCTCTATGGTGTTGAACGGCTGCGGCAGGCCGTCGACGATCTGTAGCCGCTCGTTCAGCGCCTGGTTGGCATCGTCGTAGTGCTGGTACGAGACAAACACCATGCCCGATCGGTCGTGGGTCACCGGATCCTTCATAAACCGGAAGTTTGTGACCGAGCCGTACTTCTTCATGTGGTTAAGCAGCACTAGCGACTGCTGCATGCTTGTCACCCCGGCGACGTTGTGCTTGACCACCAGGTCCCGAACCAATTGGAATGCCTTCATTTTCTAGTGTGCAGATATTGTCAAGTGAAAAAAGTGGGGGAGAAGCAAAAGAGGAGAAAAAGTGCGAATGCTGGTATTCGGAGGGCACTAAGCTATTTCGAAATAGCTGTGAGCATGTCGTCGTCTTCGATCTCAGTGTCGGCCAAGGCCACTCCAGGCTCCAGCCGCTCGTCGTCAAACTCCAGCAGAATGGTTGTGCCCTCTGGCAACTTGGCGATCTGGCGGTAGTGGTCAATAATGGTTTGCACCACCGTTGTCGGAGCCACCCGCAACAGCGTATCCTTGCCCTCACGATCGCGGATTTTGATCCGGATCGTACCAGCGCCATCCTGATCTCCACTGGCGGGTGTATCAGCCTGCAGGCTCTCGTCCAGCTCCGCCATTGCCTCGGCCTGGCTCAAAACACTAGTATCCACACTATCTCCATACAGCTCCCGCATCTTCTCCCGCTCGCTCTGCGCCTGCCGGTACTCAGTTTCGCGCTGCATCCGCTCGACAGTCTCAGACGCCTTGGCCCGGCTGAACACGTTGCGCGGGTACACCTTAATGTAGAAGATAGGTTTGGCCCCCAGACTCAGTACCGAGCTGGTTGGAAACACTCGAATAGAGTCGCTCATCAGGATCGGGCTCGTCCGCATCACGTCCACAGCAAAGTTGCTCGCGTAAACTCTAAGCGCCTTTTCGATCGGATCTGTCGCAAACACCTGGATCGCCAGCCGCTCGCGCAGCTTCTTGTCAACCGCCTTTTTGTTGGTGATCCGCGTCCGCCTCCACCGCGTCTTGTCCCACAGCGCTGGGAGCTCAGTGTCCATGAATGCCTCGTCAAAAATAAAGTCAAACTCTAGCGTCACTTTCTCTGCAAGCTTCATGGCTGGCGATAGAGCCACCTCTGACGATGGCTGGACGTCGCCCTGGAGAAACCTTGACTCGCGAGGTGATCCTGTGCTGCTGCCATCGCCATTACCGGTCATAATCGCTGCTCGCAGTGCTGGGTCCAGGCCAGATAAATCGGCTGGCTGCTGGTGCGACCGCGGCGGGGTCGCCATAGCCGGCACAGATATTGTATCAACATCGACTACTGACATCCTCCTTTTTGTTGGCTGCCGCTTCTCAGGCAGTTCTGGTGGCGGCGTGAGCGACACACTGCGTGCCCGTTTCCGTACCTCCTGCTCCTCATCCCCGCTCGACTCTAGTATGTGCCTGTTTGTTTGGCTAGTGCTCGATTCCTCATCTTCGCTGGTGTCGCTTTCGTCCAACAGCAACGAGTCGCCAATATCTATGTAACCGCTGCTCTGGGTCGGAACCTGTGACGACTGCTCCCCTGCGCTTGCTGCTTCAGCAGGCCCGCGCCGACGAAAAAAGCTCTCGTCCTCATCGTCCTCTTCTTCCGACTCACTGCTGCCAATTTCCACCCGAGTAGGCAGCGGCCGACTCACTCGCCGAGGCTGTACTGCAATTCGCGGCTGCACTGTCTCTTCAATCTCCGAGTCAGAGATAACATAGGACATGGTAAAAATAGAAAAAATGGCTGAATAAGTTTGTGACTTGTGTCTCCATTTTTTACAGCCCGCATATTTAGCGCCATGGTGTCGTTGTTCGGCATTTTGGTATTCGCCAACTAGGATCAGCAGCCGCCATTCAGCCACTCGTTTTGGCGGAAATACATCAAGCCTGAGCAATATACGTTCACACACCGTACATAGCATGCTGGAAGGATCAGCAAGGCATGTTCATATAAAATGCAAGCAAACAACCTGCTGCCACTTGGGCAAGCACATCATCGACAACTGAAACAATGCAGCTGCTCATTACCACCGCACTTCTCCTCTCGTCCTTCAGGGCAATTGTGACCGCTAGCCCAGTCCCCCCGCCCACCCACGACCCGACCATAATGCCAATCTACTGTCCGCCATGCCGCTGTGGCCCCTGCATGTATGATGCTGTTGAAGCCAATGGCAACCTGGCCGACGAAAGGCCTGCGATGCCTCCTCGCTGTATCCCTCTTCCACTCATGTGCCCTGAGGAAAGTACCATCGCCGCGCCCAACCCCCCAGTCGCAGCTGTGTAGCCAGTTTCACATAATTTGAATAAAGCAATTTCTTTGCTGGCGCTGCCAAAGAAACACCTTTTAAGGGAGAGCACATACCAGTGCTCAGCCATTATCCTGGTGCTGGCATAGTAGGACAGAAGTGGTACTAGGAATGAAGCCGGCCATTGCACCAATAAGTGAATCAAGAAAAGCACAGCATTCTTTGTCATCGCAGCAGCAGAGTTGACAAACGGGTTTCGCGCGTGCAAGCAAATGCGTGTGAACAAGTGCTGGCAATCTCCGGTTCCATTCAGCTGATGTGGCGTAGGATAGAAAAGCAGTAAAATCACTTGCATATGTACATGCATTTTCGAATTCCGACAGACAAGTCGATTAGCAGGTTGGCTGCGATTCGGCGCTTCTGTGGGCTCTATGGTCTAGAGGTATGATTCTTGCTTTGGGTGCAAGAGGTCCCGAGTTCGATCCCCGGTGGAGCCCCTTCTTTTTGGAAAAATTTTACCGCTATTTTGAAATGGAGAGCAAAAATAATGTCGACCACGCCAGGACTCGAACCTGGAATCGCTTGATCCGTAGTCAAGCGCCTTATCCATTGGGCCACGCGGCCATCGACACGCGATTTCTGAGGTAGGTGAAAAATGTAGACTATTTAAAATAACTGCTTTGTGTACACTTGGTGTCTCCCTATCACACAATCACCAGCTATCTACTCAGTTCTATAGGAAAGGACACCAAGTATATCCTCTACTATTCTTGCTAATATAAATTTTATACTCTCTAAGCATTAAGGATCTCTTAAATATTATTATTAGTATTATATTTTTAAGTACAGCATATAATGCTATTACTAGTTTTATATATAGTTTGTAGCCTAATATATATCTCAAAGCTAAGGATATAAAAAAGGGAGAAAAAAGGGAAAAAAATATAAATACTTCCTAATTTTTTTTTAGTATATTTTAATACTAAATAAAGGAAAAGAGAGTATAAAACTAATAGTATTATATACTAGCCTTTTTAAAGATTTCACTGCTATAGAGTATCTGACTTCATTAGTAAAACTAGGGTAGAAAGCTATAATTATAGTAGCTATAGGTCTCTAATAGATATTGGAGGTTATATAGAGTTATTTATCTACCAATAAATTGTTTAAGTATATTATAATTAATAGCAATTTCAGTAATACAAATACTTTACCTAAACTGCTATTAGCATCTTAGAAAAGTTTCAGTAAATATGATTTTAACCAGAAAGAAAAACTTTGCATATTTGGGGTTAATTATCTTTAGGTAACAAAAGTCAATATCTTAATAGATATAGTTAAGCAACTATAAGGAAATCATATTTACTAAAATATTTCTAAGATTCTAATAGTAATTCAGGTGAAACATTAAGAAATGTATTTTACTCTTAGTAATTATTTATAAGCATAGAAATATTTTGGACATAATAATTAATAATAACTATGCTGAAAATAATTAGTAGCAAAAAATTAATCTGAAAATGATTATTCAAATAACCAACTTACTAAATTCCAAATTGCTAAAATTTATAAGTCCAAGAATAACCCCCTTAGATAAGCAAATAATCAAGCAGGTATTTATTTCAAAAACACATGAGCAGGTTACCAAGATCAATGCAGCAAAGAAGGCAGCAAAAGAGGTAAGGAAAGCAGCAAAGATCCTATCAGATAAAACAGAGGCCACTACAGCAACTACAGCAGTAGTAGCTGATTCACTTGCTGCTGCATTGGCAGCAACAGCAGACACTGTTGCAGCACTTAACAATCCATATGCACCAGCACCCCCAGCCTGTGCACACGACCCGGCCCAAGGGATCACACAGCCTGTGTGGGATGTGTGGTGCCAGGTCGCGGATCAAACATCAAAGCCATTTAAGGCGCATGGTAATAGAAAATTCCATAGAATGGCGACAACAGATGGTGTAATGATATGCATTCTGTTACAAGACAAGGTATCCAAGGCTGATGCTGCAGTAGATGCTGATGCTGCGGGAGGGGATGCTGCGGGAGGCGATTCTGTGGGAGGCAATGCTATAGCTGACTGTTGCTATATCCACCAGATCCCACAGCCAGAGCTGCAGAATCTGAAAGGCCGCTGTGTATTCATCGATCCAGGTCGGGGCGATTTACTGTATATGATGCATGAAAATAGCAGCAATGGGAAAGAGGGTGAAAAGATGCTCTACCGCTACACACGGCAGCAGCACAATAAGGAGCTCAAGCTGCGCCACTATGACAGGATTCGTCAGGCTACAAAGGATCAAGTCCCAGAAGATGCTGTCCACAGAGCAGAGGCAGAGCTTTCCAAGCACTGCTGCTGGACCCTTAGCCCAGCAAAATACCGTGCCTACGTTGCTACCCGTGCATCTGTGCGGTGTGTCCTAGCACCGTTTTATGCCAACACGATGACAGCGCGGAGGTTACCAGAGCAGCAGCCCACTAAGTCAAACAAGCAGCACCAGAGGCACTGGAAGGCCCATCCAGGTGTCAGTACCAGTCCCAAGGTGTACCCGCTTCACCGCAAGCTGCGCCTTGATTCATTCATGAACCAGGCCCGTGCAGACTACAGGCTTGCCGCAAAACTCCGGAGCAAGTTCGGTCCAGATCCAGTGCTGATCATGGGCAATTGGAGTGCGCCGATGGCCCGACACCATGCGCCGATTCGTGGCAAGGGATGGCGCGACAAGTTCAAGTATCATGGCTTTGAAGTCTATCTGATCGACAAATTCCGGACATCGTCGATGTGCCTGTTCTGCTGCGAAAAGTCGCTGCAGACATTCCGGCATGTTCCTAACCCGCGGCCCTACCAGAGATCGAAGAACCCAACTGTGAAGTGCCATGGCCATCTACGCTGTACAAGCGAGTCATGTAAGTGGGCCATGGCACAATACAAGCGAGCCTATTCGTCTCGGCTCTTGAACCGCGACCTCGCAGCAGTTCTAAACTTCAGGCTCATTTTCCAGTCACTCTGTGATTCAGGCAGTATTCCTGAATAGTTCTGTCGCTTTACGGCCATTGCTGCCAATGCTTCTGGCACCACCCCTGAAACAAAGAACCTGCGCAAGAGGCGTGCAGCAGCAGGCGATTCTGTTGCCAGCAGCAGCGAATCAGCACTGAAGCGCCTGCACCGAGCAGGCTATCAAGATGGGAGATATCCATAGTCGCTATTGCACCAACAACTATCTGATACGTTCAAATGACCGGTTCGCCATGATGCTCTTATCAACATATCAACCCATGCTGACTAGCAGCCAAGCTCGCATCACGAGCAGAGTAGTTCTAGTATCAGAATAATATATGTGGTGCCAGGTGCCTTTCTTCTGTCAGCACTCATCATAGCCCACAAAATATACTTCAATAATACGGTGCGTGCCTAAAACGACCTAGGTCAAATGCCAGGGAAGAGGAAACTAGGTAGCGTGTTCTCCTAGTGATGATTGTAAATGTGCTGATAAAACCAAAAGTAAGCGTTCACAAAAATATATTGGAAAAACCAGAAGGAATCCTTGCTGCTAGGAGCCAGCAAGGGGTATTTAAGCAAGCGCCGAGTGCGCATACTGAGCCCTCATCTAAGCCGCGTATGGCCCTGGATAAAGCTGCGCCACTCTCAGTGAGTAATCCGCCTTGGGTGAGTCGGAACCACCCTAGCGGCATGACATATAATAGTCATACTCTATAGCTTGAACTATAATAAATTTGAATAATAGCTCATATATCAATAGGCTTGCCTGCTCTATTAGTAGTGGTAGAATTGGGTCTTATGAGAAGCAGAGTCTTTAAGGTGTAGTCATCGTTACTGGATTGAGCCAAGCCCAGAGTTCTGGGACGAATAGTAATTGCAAGTGATTTTTGGCGTTGTATTTCATGTGGAATATCTATCATTCATATTTTTTGAAACTCAGCAGTTGGAATTGCAGAATGGTTCCGCCGCTGTGGCCAAGTGGCTAAGGCGTCGCTCTTGTAAAGCGAAGATCCGGAGTTCAACTCTCCGTAGCGGCATATTTTTGCTCAACCATCTACCTATCACGTGATGTTTTATTGCTGGTGTTTTTTGCTTGCCACGTAGTGTCGGCCGCAGAGGTTGCATTGCCATTGCTTGCTGATCCAGCTGCATGGTTTGTTTGACGGCTACAATTCATCAGGAGGTGTCCATCTGGAGTGCTATATTATTATGTTTGATGTTAGGGATTAAACTGCTATGTTATTGCAATCCTGGTGTCTTTTGGTCATCAGGCAATAGCAACATTGCTAATGCGGTACGTGAGGTCGTTAATATCTCGGTTATCCATAGCACCTCTAGCCGCGTAAGCTGCCATTTCATTGGCCCTCTCAATCCCTACATTACGCGAGTTCTTGCGGATATGGTCCACACTAACCAGCAACCCGCTCTGTCTTGCCTCAGTCACGATATCCGCAATTAGATCCTGATTCTTGACCGGTGCTCCCGAAGCTGTCTGCCATCCGTTACGAACCCACTTTTGGTAGCCAGCAGTAAGACAGAAAATGACATACGAAGACTTGGTATAGATCTGCACAGGCCGTCTCTGCATGCCCGCAGGGATCTGCTCCTTGGCTGCCAACTGAATTGCACACAGTACCGCTGCCAGATCTGCCCGCTGGTTTGTCTGCTGAGGACCTTTCAGTGCTCCCTGTCGGTTACGAGGATCACTGAATCCAAAGTACACCCCAAATCCACCCTGTGCCACCTCTCGGCCATTCCCACGACATACACCGTCAGCATACACCTTTAGGCTATTCCTTGCCTCCGCACTAGTCGAAATCTGGAGCTTGTCAGGCATGCAGGAGCTCTCGGTACCCATTCCGAAGTACTTTTCAGCTGCTGCAAGCGAGGTAAACCCCTTCAAATAGCCTCGCGGAAAGCGCAGAGTCTGGCGTTGCGCATCCCAATAGCTAGAGTAGATACCAGGCGACCGGCCCACCTGGACAACGTAAAACCTATTTCTAGCCATCGCGATTCAATAAAAAATAGAGGAGTACCAAGTGGAGTATGGACGATGGAGAAGAGCGAGCTCGATTTCAACACTGGTGGCCCTGATGTATGCGTCCGACAAAGGCAATGGTAAATGGTGTGTGGCTTATCAAGCTCAACCAGCCGCTGCAGCTCCGGGTTAGGGTGTCAGAGGTGGTGCCACGCTGTATTCCAGGTCATTTCAGCTGTGATATGACCTGCAAATCAGGCTGTGGCACCTCGAGAAGCAGCGGCAATCTGCTATGATTCTTAGCACCCTGTTGGTGTCGCCAGCGTCCTAATCATATTTCGAAAGAACTCCAATTGTCTTTCTGATACTATCCGTCATCTCTTGACACCTGCCTGCAGACTATACACATTGTGCCGATTATTTGTGGTGTTCTGGTCACATCTCTTACAGGCAATGGTATGGAGTGCTTATTGAACCACGCAAAAAGGATAAACAAAAGTTATTGTCAACGACGTGCGTAGTGGGGCTACTCGTCATAATAAACCGCGCGGCAATGACCAACATGATATACTTTGGTCACTTCCTGCTCTTCGCGCCTTTTCCGGGTATCTTCAGCAACTTTTACAGCAAGAGTCCTGGCAGCGATAAGGCATTCGTTGAAAGACTCTTTGTATACGTGTCGCAGAGAAACCAGCAGCCCGCTCTTTCTGATTTTGGCCATGATGGCTTCAATCACATCCTGGTTTGCGACTGGACTCCCTTCAGAGTTCCTCCAACCGTTTTGGATCCATTCGCCGTAGCCTGTTTCCAGGCAATAGACTGCGTATTCCGACTTGGTATAGATGACTAAGGGGCGTCTACGTGCATTCGCTGGAACTGGTTCCTCGTTTACAACTTTGATCGCCAAGTAGATAGCCCACAGGTCCGCGCGTTGGCTCGTCTGGCGCTGGTTGCTTATGATTCCTTGTGTGTTGCGGGAGTCTTGATACCCAAAGTATGCACCACATCCACCTTGCGGGTTATTGCCTCCGTGGTCGAGACATACGCCATAGACATAAATCGGCAGATAGCTCCCGGCCTCCGTCCAGGCAGGAATAAACAGCTGGTTGGGTGGAAAATAGCTTCTAGCACCGATCCCAGCGAAGGCTTCGGCATCCTTCAGATACATGAAGCCCTTCATTTGTCCGTGAGGGAACTGGAAAACTTGGCTAAGCGCAGCCACGTGGTCCGAATACACGCCAGGAATGCGGCCAACTCTAACTGCATAATAGTTTTTGATCATCTATGTAGCCGCTGGTCAAGAAAGAGTATAAAAATGGTGGGAAATGGAATAAGGAGACAAAAAACTGAAGACAGGATTGTCCAGACAACAGACACACGGGCTCCAAAAGAACCTGAAGTGCGATCAGCTTGGGCAAGACAGGTGATCATTTGATATTTGGCCGCCATTTTTCCATTTTAGTGCCAGTTTAGTTTGTCACCAATATTACGTGCCCCACAAAAGTGCCTTTTCTGGTAAGGAAACACTGGTGTCTACAAGCACCCGCTTGCAATGTCCTCCGCTGGTGTTGCGGCAGTTAATCTTGTTACCCTTCAGATAGTCCAGTAGTTATGAGTTTTATGGAATGAATATGATTGGAAATTGGTGAGGAGAAGAAGGGAGGATGGGACCGGAACAACCCACAATGTTTATATAGATGGGGATTTGGATCTGCACATGGTGACGAAGGACATGGAATTGCCCGATTGTCAACAAATCTCCTTAGTCGATAAAATGACCATAATTACTTTTAGCTCGCTTTGTTATTCTCCTGGCATCCAGCAGGTGTGGTTGTAAATGGGCGACATCTGGCGGTGTCGGATTGGAAGAAGCAGATGGCTTTTACATATTTCTTCCACTGCTAGTCGGCTCTCCGATTTGACTAGTGGCAAATGTGTGAGGTATTACTTGTAGAAAACTACATTACCATATCTGGTTGGTAATTTGTGCTCTGAAGCATATGGATTTTGTTTATTTAAGCGGGTAGCTTAATGGTGCAAGACAAGTATCGTCAGAACAGGCATCGATTGGAACGTATCTGTCTCTGCCTAGCATATTGAAACACACACGAATTTCAACAAGCTCGTTGTGCAAACAGCGGATGGCCGCATCGATGCCAAGTTCCGCCTTGATTTCATTCTTGAATTTGGCTGGATCGACTGCTTTGCTGTTGTCCGGGACGATATCGTGCTTGGCTAGAGCTGCATAAAAGTTGTACCTTTTGTACAGCGCCAAAGCATTAGAGAAATATGCAACCATATCCTGGTATCTGGAAAAATTCGAGAAGCACTCGGGCCGGTTCGTAGACATGCAGATGGCATGCACATTCCAAATATGTAGCCATAGGGGCTCGTTGTCTCCATCGGACGACCAGTGTGTCCTCATGTCTTTGTACAGCGTCTTGTTCACAGTGCTGATGATTGACTCCACATTATCCACTTTGCGGGAAGGGTCACAGCCGTCGGCGCCAGTAAGCGTGTTGTCGCATGTGTGTGGATATGGTTCGTTCAAGCTGAACTTGTCCTCCGGCCCAACACCCTTGATCCAAAAGTCCACAAGAGCAAAGATTCCATTCACTTCGTAACAGCAGGTGTCGGCCTCCTTGATATTGGCTGAACAGGAGAGTGTGTCTTCAGGACACTTGTCACCAGACAACGCAGCTATGGCTGGGCTAAATAAGAGAGTGCAGGCTGTGAAGGTAGTTAGCAGCAACTTCATGAGGTCAGGAATAGGGCAGGTGGGTGAATACGGCATACTGATCTCATGTTGGAACTCGCCATAGTGTTTATTATGACTTACATATATCCATAGCAGGCAGTGGCATGGGAACATACAGACATTTAATACTCGGAGCAAGGTGGTATAGTGATTGACGCTGTGCCTTGGAAGGCGCGTTTATTGAGCCACACTCAACTGGCTTAAGAAATAATATGAGAAGTCCCAGCTGGATGGTTGGTCTTCGTGGCACACACAGCAATGACCAATAAAAAAGGTATGACGGCTTGCATCCTGCAGCTTGCCCTTGCTGTAATCTCTGTGCTTTCTCAGCTGCACTTGTAGCAAGGGGGGTGGATTCGGCAAGGCGTTTGCTGAAAGACTCCTTATATATGCGCACCAGATAGTCCCGTGGCCTGCTGTCTCTGATCTTGGCTATGGCTATTTTTTCAATCAGGTCTTGGTTTGCGACTGGACTCCCTCAAGAGTTTGTCCAGCCATTGCATATCCATTCGTCGTAGCCTGACAACAGGCAATCGGTTGCTTATTGAAGCTTGGTATAGATGTGCAAAGGCCGTTTACACAGGTTCACTGGAATTGGTTCCATGGCTACAGTCCCGGTTGCCTAGAAAATAGATGTCAGGGCCGTGCGGTTGCTCGTCTGGCGCTGGTGTTCTTTGGTTCTTCGTATATTGCGAGGGTCCAGGCGCCCTTTGCGGGTCAGGTTCACCCCAAAGAAGGTTATAGAGCTCAAGTGCATGATAGCACATAGGCATGCGGTTAAATGTCGAGGGTTATACACAGCGCCACTAATAGGCACAGGCAATAGGGCATCTATAGAGGGTACTTTATTACAGAGCGACGGAGGGATTCTTAGCATGGAGTTTCAGCAGTACGGTGCCAGCGCGGTTTTTAACTGACTCGGGTCAAGGATCAATGGCAGCAGGGAGATCTCTTCCATGCTTGGATACGCCATCAAATTCTGGCTCTCCGGGTCGATTAGCATGGCTAACTGGCGCTGGCCCTCCTCATCAAGCAACGGCGCAGCCTCAGTCAAGGCGGTATAGAGATTTCCGGCGACCTGGCTCCACCAGACCTTGATGCAGGACAGCTGGTCGTCTGTTGGCAGAGCTAATGCTGGGACAGCGGCGACTAAGAGGGCAGTCCTGATGATGTTGGACATTTGTTGCTGTGTGGAGAGAAACTGTTGGTATGACAACAGGAAACCGCTGCGTGGCAGGCGTTTTAGATGGTGTTTTATACGACAGGAGAGCCACAGTCTCTCTGAGGCCATGCGACCTTGCCAGTCATGAGACAGAGGGGTCTCGAGTCCAGATTTATTGCTGTATCCGCTTATCTAGCTCAGGCGCAACAGGCGAGAATTTGGCAATATACTTTTCGACTGCGTCCCTGAACCCCACACCCATGGCCACGCCCTGCACCGTGGGCACCAGCAGATTATCGCCGCCGCCCAGAACAAACGAATCAGTCAATACGGTGTAATTTTTGGCATCATTCAGCACGCCCCACTCAACACCCCGCATTGGCCTGTGGTCCACATTGCCGATCCGCATGGCCACTTTCACAGTGGTCGCGTTGAACCGCAGCCCAGACACCTGAATGCTTGAAAGCACATCAGGCGTGCCGTCGATGTTGGTGTTCTTGCCTTGCTGCGAAGCAGTAACCATGGCGCGGATTTCCTTGCCTGACAAGGTGGCCAGCACCAGCGTGTCGTCGAATGGCAAGGCTCGCAGGATATGGCCGCGCGTGATTTTGCCCTCGGGGATGCGGTCCCGGATAGCACCTGTGCTGATAACTGCGATATTGGCGTGCTTGGCTCCATCAGACCACACTAGAGCATCGGTAACTAGATCGCCCAGTGCGAGCTCAGCGCGGTCCGTAGCGCGCTTTGGTCCATCAAAATGGCCCTTGGCTTGGCCAATCGGCTTGTCCGTATACGCACGCATCTCCTCTTCAAACGGCCGAATGATGTCGATGGTGCGCTGGTTGGGTTTGATACGGTTGTGGAGTGGCGACGAGGGCGAGATGTCTACTGCAACCGGGCTGCCCTTGGTGAACTCGCTATCGAGTGACCCGTCAGAATTGAACACCAGGTCAAGGTACCCAACGTACTCGCCCCATTTCTTCGCCTGCACAACCGCTGTCTGCCACATCGAATCGCCGCTGTTGGTTACCCAGGTCGGGTAGGGCCCTTCTCTGTCCTTGGATTCGTCGTTTGACAGGTATGTGTGCGAGTGGCCGCCGATCACCAGGCTGACGCCCGCGTCGATACGTTGCGCCAGTTCACGGTCGCCATCATAGCCGAGATGTGACAGCACAATGATGCGCCGAATGCCTTGCTTCTCGAGCTGTGCGCGAGCCTGGTTAACAGCCTCCACAGGATCGGTTAGCTCGATGCCATTGCCTACACTCGACGACACAGCCGTGTCAGGTGTCAGGACACCAATGATGCCAATTCGGTGGCGGTCGATGATGGTGAAGGGCTGGAGATTGGCCTGCAGTGCTGGGTCTGGGTCAACAAATTTGATATTGGCGCAGATGGTCGGCACATGCACCTTGGCCAGATATTTGGCTAGGTGCCCAGGCCCCTCGTCGAACTCGTGGTTGCCCAGTGTCAGCGCATCGTAGCCGAAGCTGTTAAGCAGCGCGGCTGACAGATTGCCCTTGAACAGTGAGTAGTAAATCGAGCCTTGAAGCTCGTCGCCCGCGTTGAGCAATATGGAGTTCTCCTTGCCCACATTGTTGGCCAGTCGCAGGTGGTCGATTATCGACTTTACCACCGCCGATCCGCCAATACACCCATTCACAGTAGCGTCACATGCATCGCCAGTCTTGGCATCGAATGGGGAAAAATGTGCGTGGAGGTCGTTGGTGTGGACCAACCGGACCTGATATTGGAATTCCGACAGCGAGTCAGGGCTGACCAGCGGCGGGAACAGGCTCCTGTCGATATCAATATGCGGGTTATCTCTATAATTCCTGTACCACGCTATGCCGGTGATGAATACATACAGGATGCCCATCCCTATCAGCATGACTGCTGGTAGCAGCAGCATGCGCTTACTCCATATGGGCTCCTCTTCGCCACGCCGCCTATATCCGTCTGAGCCGCCAACGGCACGGTACTCTGCCGACCTTCTAAATGGCCAGAATCTGCCAATGCCCCCGGACTGCTGCTGGTTCGCTCCCGCGCATTGCTCTCGAGCTCTGCAGCAATAATGTCGTCGACATCGTCAACAGTCAGGATGCTGTCGAAGCTAGACCCACCACGCGTACTATCATCGCCCATTTCACGTTCAGCCTGCTCCTCAATACGGTCCCCATCGGGCTCGGACACCATGCTCGACTTGGAAGTCACTTGCGTGGATACCATTGTTTGCCCACGGGACCGTCTTCGCGAAACTGCGTCTGACTCATTCCCGTTATTGCTGCTGTGAGGTGACGACACCGAGGCCACGTCGCTGACCCCGCTGCTGCTGGCGTTCTCTCTATGTCGGCTGAGGTCTTGCAGTGGAATATAGCTGGATTTGCGAGACATTTATAGTGAATAGGTGTAGCGGTAGTAGAAGAAAGAATGCGAATGAATGAGGTGCGGAAAAAAAGGAAAATAAAAAACATTCATTTCTGAATACCTGAATAAGCCAGAGTATTATCCCCTACAATCTCCGATTCTGTTCCTGAGTTCAGATTAGGCAATTTCTAAGTGGTGTCTCAGATTTCCCACTGTGGCAAATCCTGGCTATTGCTTGCCCCCGAAGATGTCCGAATGTACTTCGAGCGGGGAGTACTCCGGCGTGGTGCGAAGCGAGAGGGCGCCGATGCACACCTCCAGGCCCCATATCCTGGTAGACGTATTGCTGCGTGCGCTCCCGGTCCCAGATTTCATCTCCCATCTGGAACGCCCAGTGGTCCTTGCCCATCAGCAGGAGCAGCTTGGACGGATTCTCCTCCGACTCTTCATAGGCACCCATGCCCAAAACGGACCGTGCGATATTACGGGCCGCAATGTACGCCCCGTACATGGCCACACCAGCCAGCTTGACCTCGTCGCGCGCGCAGATGTCCCCGACAGCGAAGATGTGGCCCAGATCACTGTGGTCCACCTGCAGAGTGGGCTTGACAGCGATTCCATTGGGTGTCAGCACGGAGGCGTCGAGGCTGATGAGTGGCAGTTTTGACTGTGTGCCAAGGCAAAATATGGCCCAGTCGGCCGGCAGGACCTTTCCACTGGTCAGTGTCACCGGCGTGTTCGCAAAAGCCGAACTGGTCGTTTCGGCTGTCCCAACCTCCCTGGATTGCGGAAGCTCATTGAGTGTACGGTCAGCCCAGAACGACGTTGACGCCGATATCCTCTTCGAGGATCCGGACAACTTCCTTGCGGAACTCGTCCTTGAACGGCCCGGGGATTGGAAGCACCCGCGAGTGGACCAGGCTAACATGCTTGTCGGGGAAATCCGCCTTTACATCGGCAGCCATCTCAATACCGACAGCTCCGCCACCGACAACAACGACGCTGTCTGCCTTCTTGATATTCTCGTGTGCCTCGGCGATCTCTGCAACAAACTCCCGGTGCGTTGTCGATGCAACGCCAATAGGGGCAAAGCGGCTCTGGCCTAGTGCAATGATCAGATAGTCAAAGCTCAGCTCCGAGCCGTCAGCCAGGTGGACCGCCTTGGCCGTGATTTGAGAAACAGCTGCTTGCTTGACTGTGATCTGGGGGTGTGAGAACCACGGAACCTGCGAGTACGGAACCCACAGCTTCTTGCCAAAGTCGGGCTCGGTCAGTCCACGGGTAATGCCGATGAAGTGGACGAAGCCATCGCGGCGGTCAACCAGGGTGATATGCACATTGGCAGGCGACGGGGCAGCAAGAAGAATTGCATATAGGTTGTGCAGCGCGTTCAGACCAGGCGTAGTTTCCTCCGGCAATGACAATTTCGATGCGCCTCACCGAGTCAGACATTTTGTGTACAGGAAATTCGCGCTATCTGTTCGAACGGGATGTATTGGGAGGGAGACGAAGGACGAGGAAGAGCGAGATTCTGAAGCGGCTGCAAGATTCATGTCGACCACGATTGGCGACGCTTTATGACCTTGCCATGTATTGTAAGCGCTTCATCGGATAAGCCGAATAGATACTGGAGGCAGTGCGAGCTCTAAAAAGAATTCTTTATTTTTTTACACCAGGATCTTCCATACTAATTCATATTTGTCGCTTGATAACATGCCTTTTTGCGCTGGAATGTCCGAGCACTCCCAGAACGTTCGCCGTTGCCACCCGCACTCTACGCGTATACCACTCCAGCCCCAAAGCGCTGGATAATCCTGCTCACTGTCCAGTTGACTCCCCAACATCACCAGTGAGTCGCTTCCATGAGAAAAGGCGATTGCTAGTGTATCTCGATGGATTGATTTGCATAATGGCCATGATTTGAAGTTTCGTTCTCAGCTTATCCGATGTGGTATGTTTGCAGCAGTACAACAGGGAGGTAGCTTGCATGCCGTACTTTCTTCCTTCCTTCTTTGATCCTGCAAGCTCCCCCATCTGCTATAAAACGCACCAAGCCATACCGAACTCCCCTCCCTCTTGTTCCAAAACAAAGCGCCCCCTACTATTGCAAACCTATTCTATTAAATAATTACTTTCCAAATATTACTAATCCCGTGTGTCTTAGCATGCCCAAGCACCGAGATAACAACGATATCGAGGCTCACAATGAGTGGTCTGGCGCCCTTACCAACGAGACCGAGCAGAATGCAACGCTCAACGGTGTCAAGAAGAAGATGGTGACCAGGTACAGCCGGTTCGACAAGATTCTGATTGCAGGCGGTATCTTCTTCATCAACTTTGTCGCTGCCATGGACTCCAGCGCTACCGGAACCATCCAGCCCGCAGTTCTCAGCGAGTTCAATGCCCTGACCCGTGCGGGTATCATCTCGACTGTCACATACCTGCTCGTTGCTGGTCTGCGTCCCATATTTGCAAAGATCTCCGAGGTCTACGGCCACATCCACGGCCTATTCATTTCCATGTTCTTCTACACGCTTGGCCTCCTCATCTGTGCGCTGTCCAAGAGCTTCACTACCATTTTCGCCGGCACCATCATCTCCGTCATTGGCCAGGCCGGCTACGGCACCCTGGTCACTATCATCATTGCGGATGTCATCCCTATCCACCTGCGCGGTATCATCACCGCATGGGTGTCTATTCCGTACGTGACCAACTACTACCTCGGTATCGAGGTTGGAGACGGACTCATCAAAAAGTGGCAATGGGTGTACGGCATTCCTGGCAATCCTGGCCTGTTGTCTGCTCGATGCCGTCGGTTTTCAGTCTGTTCCGTCTCGATCGTCGCGCGCGCCAGATCCTCAAGGGAGACTGGCCAGTGGGCCCCGCCCCGCCCCTTCCTTGAGGTGGTCAAGGAAGCCTGGGTTGAACTTGATATCCTGGGTCTGATTCTCCTGTGCGGCGGCTGCATCTCGATTCTGGCTCCGCTGGGCATGCAGCTCAACACCACCTACGGCTGGGGTAGCGCACGCGTTATTGCGCCTCTTGTAATCGGCGTTGCCGCCCTGGTGCTCTTTGCCTTCTACGAGCGTCTGTGGGCCCAGTTTCCTGTGGTCCCCTTCCACCTCTTCAAGCACCGCACATTCACCGGCGCCATCCTTGCCGGCATCTTCTTCTACGTTACGTCCAATGTGTCGCTGTTTTTCTTCAATCCTTTTATTCAAGTAACGCGCGAGGTCTCGTCCCGCACTGCCATGCTGCTGCAGCTCAGCACCACCGGCTACTACGTCGGGCTGTTCCTTGGGGGCTGGGCGATGCAGTGGTCCCGCAGATATCGCCGCTGGGCATGGATTGGCTGGGCCATGTGGCTCATCTCTGTCTGCCTTATGATCCGCTCGCGTTCTGGCTCGCACACAACCAATGCGGAAATTGCAGCTGTTCAGGCAATTATTGGTGTTGGCAGTGGCATCGTGATCAGCTGCGTCGGTATCGGAGTGCAGGCATCGGTTTCCAAGACCGACGTGCCCATTGCTGTCACGCTTTACGGGATGGTCGCATACCTAGGTGGCGTTATAGGCGAGGGTGTGTCGACAACGGTGTGGGTCAACGTGCTGCCGTCCAAGATCAACTCGAAGCTGGACCCGAGCGTCGACTCATTCAGCGCTATTAACAACATCACATACTTCTTCGAATTGCCCAAGGACCAGCGCGTTATTGTGCAGGAGGGCTATGTTTCGACGCAGAAATTCTTACCATCTGCGGCATCTGCTCGATGGTGGTTGCTGGTATTTGCATGCTGTTCCTTGCTCCCTACCAGCTTGAGTCACCCCCCAAGAGTGATGAGGATGGGCAGGTGGATCAGACTTCGACAAGCTCTGACTCGAAGTCAATCAAGAAGTAAAAAGCACAAACTTTCCTCTCTACATGTTTATTTTTCCAATACTACAACCCAATAATCATCTGCGTTTCCTACACCGACATGCCGGTACTTTGATCGTTTGAGCTCACTGCCGATCTTGCCATTCCTTTTTAATTCGGGAACCACCGAGCCGACATCGCTGGAACTGGCAATCATCCATGTCTGGCTCAGATACGTCCATGTACGGGAGTTTGTCCGGGTCAAACCTCAGTGCAGCGGCGAGTCTTGCCTTGTTATCAGCAGCATCATTGAGTGCTGTCTGCATGACAAGCTGATCGGTATTCCCTACAACTCGGGCATTGTCGTTGATCAAGAAAAGAAAGTCGTAGTATACGTCGGGTGATAGCTGCGGCTGGTCGCGCTTGGCTAGTGGTGCATCTAGAGGAAACCCCGCAATAGTCACAGCTAGCAGAAGAGTAGAGAGGATATTCATGCTTTCCAGCAAAATGTGAAACTAGAAGAAAAGATGCAGGTCAATGGCGAGGCCATGCAGAGAGCGTTATATGGGTGCAGGGATCTATTCATTTCGGATATATATCTAATTCAAGTCTGACGAGAAGACCACGACCCAATAACCGGCATTGGCGCCGACACCAGCAAAGCGAAAGTCAGGATTCCGCATTGCCTTTCTCGCAGGGTCTTTGGCTGAGACTTTATGCAGGCTATTAATAGCAGCGTCGAACCGAGTCTGCTTCTGTGCTGATAAATGCTGCCTTTTCTGAAGTGGCGCCAAAGTCACTCAGTGCCTGGACCGGCGTCGGTGGGGGTGGTTTTGTCGTCGGCGTACTTTTGCGCAATCTCGTTTAATTTCAAGCGCAAACGAAGGTGTGTGGTGGAATATGAAGCAAGGCGCTGCTGGTTGACGGCTGCAAATAGCTGGAAATACCCAGTCGCTGAGCGGGGCCGAGTTTGATGGTGCGTAGTCTGCCATGCAGTGTGCGGCGAGCGAGAGGAGGACCGAGGCGTATCTAGGATGCATGTCAACACGTTCCAAAAGAAAAATTGTATTCGTACAAGGAATTGCAGGTTGCTGGCAGGAGTGGAATATATACCCTGCGTCCTACTTGCTGATATTACGAATGACCAGCGAGTGCAGGTGAGAAGTCTGTGTGTAAATCAGCCTTTGCGTGGCCCTCTTTGCCGACAAATAGACGGCGTTGGCGTTTGCGCTAAAGAAAAAGTCAATAGTCAGGAACTTCAACATGCGGCACACCGACGCTAATGCCACTGCAATATCGCCAGCACGCTCGTCGCTGCTGAACTTCATGCCGCCCAATGTCAGCTCCTGCAGCTTAGTTGAATGTGCATTGGCCATCAGCATATGGACACCGGCGATTTCGGCATCAGTCAACACATCCGGCAATGGCTTGATTGACGGGATCTTGTGCATCGACACAGCCAGTGCGCGCAGTGCTGGCAGCTGTTGCAGCAGAATGCCAACCTCTGACAGATAGCAGTAGATGTTTGGAATCTCCAGGCGCTGGATGGTCAGGTTGGGCTGGATGTGCGGGAGCCATTGGGAAACATTAGTGCAAAAGTCCCAGCAATGCAGGTTCTCGGCCCTGGGGCACCCGTTGATGATGCCTGCCAGCATTTGCGCTACGAAGCTCTGGGAGGAATTTGCCATGTATACGCGGAACTTGATGGTGGCCAGGTTCTGGCACGCCTTCCAGTTCAGCAGCCCGCAGCGGATAAACTCGGGGAACAAACAGCAGTCGATTGACAGCTTCAGTGTACGCACCTCAATGCACGGCCTGGCGATGCTGTCTTCGTGGTGGCCAGTGCCGACCCAGCACTGGGTGGTGTCGAGTCGCTCGAATGGATGGCCCTTGTGCACCAACTGGTCGGCAAAGGGCAAGCCGAGGCGCTCGGTGCGAATGTCGAGTCGGCTCAAGTTTGGGTAATCGACGCGCAGGCGGTTGTCCAATGTGGCTATCCGGGGATAAACATTGTGGCGAGATATTGAACAAATGCATGCAGTGCAGCGTCTGCGAGTTTCGCCGGACCAATTCTATGTACACGTCGTTCCAGCGCGACTCGTCGATAACGATATGTGACAGGACCAGTGAACATTTTGTTGTCAAGCTGAAAATCGACAGTCGATCCTGGGCACATGAATGGCCCAGTGTTGTTGGCATGGACAGCAATGCCCCGTAGGTTCTCAAACGGCCTGCAGAAATGCTCCACCATGAGCAGTGGGTGCACGTTAAAGCTGAAGGATGTAAACGAGATCATGATTGTGCGGGTTTCCTGGCAGGCACTGGTGCAGCAGGGCGCCGAACCTGCGAGCACTGGCACTGTCCTCTTCTGAAGTCGAAAAACCACTGGTCTCCAAGTGTCGATACTGGCAGAATCCGTAGAACCAGCTGCTTGGCACACAGCAGCGGGCCATTATTGAACACCTGCTGCAGAGCATTGCTCGCGCGCCCGTCGATGACCTGCTGGCACGTCATTGTGATGTAAATATGCCTGATGAACTGCTCTGCATCGACCTGCCGTGTCTGCAAGAGGCTCAAGTATTGCGGCTCATGCGGGGATGTCGGGAATATGCCCAGGGTCGCGATTTTGTACTGATATGTGCATGCTGCGTGCCGCCAGGCTCGCGATAGCTGTAGGAATGGGTACAGCCGTCGGTGGAATACCGGCGGCTCGGCTGTGAGCAAGTGCGCCCGATACTTTGTGCAGCCAGTTGCATAAGAGATGATGGTGCTTAGAATATGTTCGGGCACATGCTGCATCGTTGAATAAAAAACGCATTAATAATAAAAAGCACTGTATTGTAAGCAACAGACCGGCGAAAACAAGACGGGAGGGACGGTTGGAGCGAGGTGTCTTTGACATAATGGGGAATGCTCAGGCAAGATACTTTGGGTAGCACGGCCGCATAGCTGCGACCAGGAGGTGAGAATCTGTCCAATATCCGGACCTCCGCAAAAACCGATGAGATCATATGGAACAAGCCGCAGGCACGTGAGGCGATGACGATTGGCTGCGCAGACGGCATTATAAATCTCTGCCCGATTTGTCATCCGTAGGCTAGTTTTATCTCGTCAGTGGGCGGCAAGGCGAGAAAGCAGGTATATAGAGCGAGAAGCGTCCAGCGTGCTGGGTTGGCAGTCAGACTTTCCTTGCCTTGATACAATTACAAGTTTTCTCAACACCTTCCACATTCACTATCATTTCAAAATGCACAGCGCCAATTTACCAATGTCAGAAAAAGAGACAGAGGTTATTCAGCCCACAGAGGACGAGCAGCAGTTGGAGAGCGAGCAGCAACAGCTGGAGAGCGAGCAACAGCAGCTGGAGAACGAACAGACAACAGCTGGAGAACGAACAGCAACAGCTGGAGAGCGACCAGCGGGATGCCGTCAAGATAGAGGAGGAGACCAAGGAACAGCACTCGGTGGGTTCCACGGTAGTGTGCAGCGAGACAGCGATGCTCGATGAGAAGCTGTCGATATGCACAAGCCGTGTGGCGTGTCAGACATCCACACTAGGCGAGTCCGAGGGCATGGCCGAGACAGTGACGCTGAAACACATCTACAGCATCTTCTGCTGGCTGCACTGCCAGCACAACAACAGGATGTGGCGCGAAAGCCCCCTATCGGCATGCCAAAAGGCGGTGACTGACTGCCGGTTCATGGCGGACGCGAACCCAGAGAAGCTGAGGGCGAAGCTAGATGAGATCCGCAACATCCACGCCGAAATTATCGAAAAATACGGCTCTGCCGACAAGGTCCCAAAGGACCTGCGGGTGGTACCCGGCGGACCGCTGTTCAGTATTGTCAATTTCGTTTTCACCGGCCAGTGCCTGCAGGCCAAGGGCGAGGATTGCGTCAAGTTTGTCTCCAATAGCGCAACCAGCGGAAGTTCTTTGGCGGAAAATGCTCAGCATGAGTCAGTCAGCGCCACAGCATCGCAGCAGCGGAGTCTGGGCGGTGGGCCGGTGAGACATGGCCGGGCGCATTCGCAGCTTTCGCGCGACCACCCGCTGGTACGCAAGGCTGTGAGTTTGACGCCCGACGATGTCAAGCAGATGGTCCACGAGATGACTATTCGCAAGGCCATAGCCCTGCGCGACGCCAAGCTGCTGGCCGACTGGACTGCGATGAGGCGCCGCGAGCTCGAGGTCAAGGAGATGCGGCTACGGCAGCATATCGGGACCAGCACTTCCAGCCGGATTGAGGAGCTGCTCGAGTTTAACGACTTTTTGAAAAAGTATGCCCAGTAAATCAACCCACTCTTGTACAATTGTTTATATATCCGAAAGAACTGGCAGTATCGTTTTGTGTTCCAGACACGTTTGCACCGTGTTCGATAGATATGATGTGGTATGTGTTTTTTTTGGGTCCTACTGCGTCCTTCTCCTCTCCTCCGGCTGTAACTGTTCTAGAGCAAAAAGACCCGCGATGGGGGAGGGAATTTCAGCACAAATATGCGCTGGGCTGCATTCTGTATGTACATGTCATGTCATGTGGAGGGAAAGGGGAACACATAAATTCCCGCAAACAGCAGAGACAACAAAAGCTCCAAAAAGGCACCCTTCATTCAGACTCTTATCTCCTGGGAAAGAATGCGGTTGTACTCTGTCGCTCCATTTCTCGTCTTCGCACCAATAGCCATGGGAATAGCCAGCAAATGCCCCTCATACGTCGACTGGGCCAGCGTACCGCATCCGCCGTTCTCGCCGGGCCCTCAGCGCATCCCGACCATGCGGCCGCCCGAGCCGTGCCGGACATTCAGCAGCGCCGCGATCGAATCGGTCTTGCAAGCAACAGTAAGCCAGATCAAATCTCCGGATATGCGGCAGCTGCTGACAAACATCCTGCCGAATACATTGGACACGGCAATCGCCTGGCACGACCCAGGCAATACCACAGGCATGCCATATACATTTGTCATCACCGGCGACATCAATGCACAGTGGACACGCGACAGCACCAACCAGCTTCTGCCGCTTCTGCCATACGCCTTGCAAGACACGCGGCTGCAGCTGCTGGTGCTGGGGCTGATTAACATGCAGGCAGAGCAGATTTCGCAGTATCTGTTTGCCAATGCATATAAGCCGCCGGCACGGTCCGGCCTGGTGCCCGGCGAGAACTCGTGGGCAAAACTGGACAAGGTTGTGCCGCAATTCGACCCGAAGCTGGTGTTTGAGGCCAAGTTTGAAATCGACTCCCTGGCGGCGTTCCTGAAGCTGTCGACGGCGTACTGGGAGCAGACCAAGGACCAGAGGTTTATGTCGACGGTGTGGCGCACGGCAGTGGCAAATATCCTCGAGTTGCTGCAGCAGCTGCAGATGCCGACGGTGGACAAGAACGGCAAGATGAATAATGCCACGGTGCGGTTTTCGCGCGAATCGACGTCGCCGACCGAGACCTCGTTTGGCCACGGGCAAGGGAATCCGGTCAAATTTACAGGCATGGTCAAGTCGCTGTTCCGGCCCAGCGACGACTCGGTGATCTTCCCGTTCTTCATTCCCGGCAACGCCATGCTGTCGACGGAGCTGGCGCGGCTGGCGCAGATGCTGCTGTCGGTCAAGGAGATGGCGGTGGAGCAGGCGGTGGCGGATAGGCTGGCAGAGGAAATCCGCCAGGGAATCTACCAGTACGGCACTATGGATCACCCGGTATACGGCAAGATATTTGTGTACGAAACTGACGGATTCGGCAGCGCTGTGGTGATGGATGACGCCAATGTGCCTAGCCTGCTGTCGCTACCGTACCTAGGGTTTGTGGACAATAACGACTCAGTGTACTTGAACACGCGCAAGCTGATCTTGTCGCCGGACAACCCGTGGTACTTTGCTGGCTCCAGGGTGTCGGGCATCGGGTCGCCGCACACTGGCTTCATGCGGGTGTGGCCAATGGCGATTGCCATGCAGGCGCTGACCACCGACGACAAGAGTGAGGTCAAGTGGTGCCTGCAGCAGCTGCTGGAGACGACGGGCGGGCTGGGGCTGATGCACGAGTCGGTGGATGTCGAGGACCCGGCGCGCTACTCCCGGCCGTGGTTTGCATGGTGCAACGGCGTAGCCAGCGAGCTGATTATCGACGCAGTGAGGCGGTTCCCTGGCATCGTGTAGGGCAGCCAAAATCCAATTGCATGCGGTTTGGCAGCCTGCATAAAGTGATCGGTTCCAACCGCGATTAAGGACCAGTGGGATCTAACGACTCATTCTATTTGTCCGCATTCCTGGTGCCAATCGCGCACAGCAGGCGCCTTCAGAGAAGCATCTTCTGCCCATTCCACCCAACCCCCCTCCAGCTCTTTCTACGCTACCTTGCACCACTTTAAATAGCACCGTTTTGCGCTACAAAGGATTCTCCTTTTTCTCTTTCCCGTACCTATCTTTTTTCAAGTACAAAAACCTATCCTCTCCTCGTTCGCCCTTCTTACCTCTCAAACCTCACTTTTCTCTCTCACTCGTCTCTCACTCCTTTTTTGCCATGAAGATTTCCACGACTATTGTTCTGGCCGCTGCCGCTGCCAGCAGCTCGGCCGCCGCCGTGGACATGCACAAGCGCATCATCGGCGGGTCCGATGCCTCGTACAAGTTCAGCGCCAACATTGTCAAGGTGACGGCGTCCGGCGTGGGCGTGTGCAGCGCGGCGTTCCTGTCTGACCAGGTTCTGGTGACCACGGCTTCGTGCGTCAGCGACACGTCGTCGGACTCGGCGTACGCGGCGTCTGCGCTGTACGTGGGCCAGGGCAGCGCCAGCGACGCCCTGGCGACGGCGGGCGCAAAGGGCGCCAATGTATCGAAGCTGACCGGCTACGTCAACCCGGCGCAGGTGCTGACCCACCCGGGCTTCAACAGCCGCGCGTACGCCGACAACATTGCGCTGGTGATGCTGGGCGCTCCGTATAAGAACGCGACGGCGGTGAAGGTGCAGAAGAAGCTGCCGGGCAAGGGCGCGTATCTGACGGCTGCGGGCTACGGTGCAGCGGATGGCGGCGCGACGGCGCTGCAGAAGGCCCAGGTGGTGGTTGGGGAGAATGCGACGTGCTCGCAGGCGTTTGCGTCGTACAAGGACTCGTCCAATCTTGTGTGCGTGGGGCCGGTCAAGAACAAGGGTGGCGCCTGCAATGGCGACGGCCTGCTGCTGCAGGAGGACTCGTCGAACGTTGCGCTGATTGGCGTGCTGGATTTGTTTGCCTCGACCGACTCGCAGGATAACGCGCAGTGCAGTGACAAGAACGTGTACAACTTCTACACCGCTGTGGAGAACTACATGGCGTGGATTACCCAGAAGACCCCGCTCAAGGAGTCCGCGCTGCTGTCCACTGCCACTATCTCTACCTCGGGCTCCGGCTCGGCGTCTGACAACGAGGACAGCAAAGAGCAGAGCTCCAAGGGCGGTGCTAGCTCCAAGGGACGAGGAGGGCGCGACCAGCGGTCTTGACTCGTCCAGCAAGTCGGGCGCTGCCATGAACAAGGGTTCGATCGCCGTCGGCGTCGCCCTGGCTGCCGCTGCTGCCTTCTTCTAAACTCTCGTTTTTCTGCCATTGTTATGACTTTCCGTTGTTTATGAAAACGGAACTACCAAAATTTTCTCTCAAGCCTATCACAGCACACCCCGAGATAGAGTGCTGGAAACCCGTGTCTGCAGGAAGGATCTGCACGACACAGATATGAAGCTTTCCCAAATGAACCGCTGCATTCCCATTCAGTAAACAAGGGTATCCTGGGGCAAGCTGCACGAATAGAGGAAAGGCATTTGGGTTTTGCACTTCGTGCGATGTCACTGGGTATAGCTTTATTTTATTAGAGGCTCATGAGAATGACTGCAAGCGAAATAAGGAATGCGCCCGCAACACTGGCAATATCCGGGACCACGCCGAATAGGACAATGTCAAGCACGAATGTAATGGCGATATCGCTGTTGCGCATCATCACCGCTGCTCCAGCACTGGCCATCTGCAGTCCGGAATTCATCAGAAACTGCGCCAAAAACGCCATCGCTCCCACGCCCAGCACCACCGCCCACCCGGCAAAAGTTACCGGAACCACCCATGTCTCGCCATTGAAAAAGGACACAGCAGCGCTGCCCACCATTCCCAGCAGGCCAAAATAAACGACATGCACCAGAGCGTGTACTGAGGGGCCAGCCAGCCGAATGCTGACGTACGCCAGAGGCTGCAGAGGCCTGCGCCCAGCAGCGCACACAATGCCCACGGCGACACGCCCTCCATTGTCGGCTTGACTATAAGCGCGATTCCCGCCAGGACACACTAGTGTCAGAATGCGCTGCCGCATGGTGAACTCTTCGCGCATGAGCCAGTAGGCGAAGCAATGCAGTGAAAAGCGGGTTTGTGAAAAACAAAACTGTGGCCACGCCCATTGGCAAATTGGCCAAAGCGTAGTAATACAGCATATGGCCGATGCCGCCAAACACCGCCCGCACCAATACCCACTGCATCTGCTTCCACCCGGCCCACCCGCAGCGGCGAAATGCCCAGGGCCAGGCAGCTGGGGATGGCCAGCAGGGACTGTACTAGGCTGCGCCAGAACATTATCTGCAGGGACGTCACTCCGGCGTCTGTCAGCTTGCGCACCAAAAGCGTCATCACTGCGAATGCCACGGCCGACAGTGCCGAGAGCAACAGGCCAGTGCGCCGCCGCCGCGTCTGCGCTATCTGGATGTTGTGCGCTGGCTTGTCAATAGACGTCAAAGTGGTGTCCTAGGTCCTTGAGAAGGAGATGCGTGGTTTCAGTAGCCATTTTAACTATACCAATAAATTACACGAATAAAGAAAAAGAAGTGGAGGAAGGAGAAAATTACAGGAGCTGCTGGTGGTTGCTTCATGACCAGGGGGCGGGCGGGCGGAGCCTATCTTATATATTAGCATATTGCCACTGAATGGCGCAATAGCAAAGCTAGTTTGCTATTCAAGTAGGTGTAAGGGGAGCCCTAGTAGCAAAAACATGGCAGCAATGGAATACACGGCTGGGAGAAAAAGAGCACATGAAATTACGCCATCGGGCATTGGTGTATCGTCATACCTATTTCTGTTCTTCTCCATTGCCACACGATCCTCTCCCCTGATAGATAAATACCTATGATTCGGCAAACATGTGACCCCAGTTGCACATATTTATTGGGAGAAGGTGCCATTCGTGACTAATGCAGAAGGCAAAACAAGTGCATCGACAAAATGCCTCCTGACGATATCCTCGGCCAAGAAGAAGTTCGCCTTGCTGCCAACCCGGCTACTATCGCACCAAAAAAAGCGCTCGGGCCGCTTGCACCTTTTCTTTTCGCTGTGGATGCATGGGTGGTTCGGGAACCGCAGTCCGTATTTGTAATGCTCGCGCTGCATTTTAGCCAGAAACCCCATTGAGTCGTATGTGCGCATGTCGACGCTGGGGTCGGAAATCAACGCATTTGTCAGATTATTGGTAATCGACCTGGTGTGGATCGAGGGCTGGTCGATCAGCAAGAGCCGGACGGGCGCGCGTCCGCGGATCCAGGATGAGCCGGTTAGTGGCACGCACAACATTGTCCAGCGCCGGGCCGTTCGCCGGGTCAGTGACAAGCACAAACAGCGTGCGGTCGCTGGCCGGCTGCAGATCCATGATCATCTCAGCCTGCTCTTCAATGTCCCTGACTGGCAAGGTTTTTGCGCTGCGGCCTGCCCACCAACTACCGTGGAGTCGCTGTGGAGTCTGGGAAGCGTGACCGAGTAGCCGTGTGCAAACGACTGCAGGTCGGCGCCCAGGGCCTCGGCCATGTGGTCGATCCAGAGCTTGCCTCCGCAAAACTGCGTCCGGTGCGCGTCGGTGCCGGCATTGCCGAATACGATTATTTGCGTGACCGGCCGCGTCAGGTTGGCTGACTGTGTCAGCTCGTACAGCGTCTTTACGTATATGCGGTCGTTGGCCGATGCAGGAATATTGGTCAGCAGGAGTGACGCTGCCAGCACAAAGAACATTAGCACGATCACTGCATGTGCTGTGATGTTGTTGTCGTGAGTGGCGAACGTGCGCTTGAGCTTGTAGAGGATATGCCTGCATGGTGTGAAATAGACGCTTTTTTTTTACAATGAAAACAAGAACAGATCGCGATGAGCCAGCTGGGGCCAGTGCCTCCCATCATGCCTATTTATACTCTGCTTCATGGGGAATGTACCTGGGGACCGGCGTGGTGCCAGTATTCGCCATGTACGCATTCTTTAGGAGCGATGCTACTGCCACACGACATGGACATGCAGCATTTCTTGATCGATATTCTGATCGCCTAATCCCTACAGTAAAAAAGCGCTTTTTCGCCACCTCTCCTGTTCAACCACCACTTCCTCTTTTATTCACTGCAATTTTCAGTATTTTCTCACAATGGCACAGGGTCTCGGAAAGAAGAAGCTGGTGGTGAAGGCCAAGAAGACGAGCAAGCCGGCCAAACAGCACGAGTCCAAGTCGGCCGCGCCCATTCGCAAAGGTCGCGTAGTCAAGGCGCCCAAGCAGGTAGGCACTGCAGAAGCACGCAAAGGTGAAGAAGAAGCTGGTAGGCCAACATGACCGCCAGCCTGGAGCAGGCCATGTCGGTCAAGGCCGGCGCTCTGGGCAAGCTCACAATCATGAAGGAGGCTCAGGACCTCGGCAAGAAGAAGGAGCCCAAGCGGAGAAAGTACTAGGCGCGTTTTCGTTGTACTCCATGGGAAAAATATATAGATGTAACTATCAGCCTTATGGCATCGAGATCGACGAGATGGTGGCTATCTCATGGTCGCTAATTGAGTGCTGTGCCTGCTGGCTGTCGCTGAACCGACTGGATGACCGAATGCTCTGCTCTGTCGACGACCGTGGGCCAGAGCCCAGTCGTTCTCAGCAACGACAGATCCTCGCTAGATCATGGCAGCCTCGGCGGCAAAATCCTGGATCCAGCATCTCCAGGACGCTGCTCCAGGCGCTGCCTTAAATGCAGCTGCGCCGTGACCTGCACTCTGAGGCCATCGCGCTCAGCGCGCAGATGCCTGGCCCGCTCCTTATCCCGCTCCCCTTCCTCCAGTGCCTTGCTGAGCCGTCGTTTGTACTCCTCCTTGGCCATCTCCACCGCCCGCCGCAGCTTCTCTGCCTGCTCCCGCTCCTCGCGCACCTGCCCTACTCTATGCTCATGGCTAGCCTTGCACTGCGCGCAGACTGGCCAGGTCATTTGTGCTGGTTTCCAGTGCTTGCCGGCTGGCTTTGAGCTCCAGCGCTGCCTGCTTGTAGCGCAGCCGGTACTCGTCCAGCCGCCGCATGGTCTCGGTCAGCTTTGTGCTCCATGCCGTCGGCCTTTGCCCGCTGCTCGCCGACCTCAGCCATGGCCTGCTTCAGGCTGCGGTCGAGCTCGCGGTGCTGCTTGACCAGCTCTGTGTACTCGTTCCATGTGCCATTGTACTGCGCCTTCTGCTCGTCGACCGCCTTTTGCGCCTTGCGGCTGCATCTCCTGCACTCGCCTCAGCTCCTTGGTCTTCTCCCGCTTCTCCGCCTGCTCGCTCTCCAAACTCCGCGCTGCTTGCTCCAGCTGCTTCTGCAACTTGCGCGATCTGCTTGGTGCGGTCCCGGGCCGGCTGCAGGTCAGCCTGCATGCTCAGGGCTTCTGACTCCAGTTGCGTGATCCGTGACTGAGCGCGATCCAGCTGCCTTTGCAAGGCTTGCTCGGTCTGTTTGGCCTCGGACGAGCCGGACCGCAAAAGCTCCTGCAGCTGGTCGCGGGTCTGCGCATACAGAGACTTTACGTTTTCGCATTCGGTGCGCAGCCGCTGGACTTCGCTGTGGTCGTCACGGCCAGAGGGGCTGCGCTGGAGCTCCTGCAGCCTGCCCGACAGCCTACTGCGGTCGTTCTCGGTGCTCATCCACCTGCTCTGCATCTGCTGCTGCTGGCTCTCCAAGTCTGCCTTCAGCTTGGCGATTCTCCTTCTCCAGTGTCTCGATGCGCTCGTGCAAGTACTCGATCTGGTCGGCCAGGCGCATCTCGGGCTCATCGCCATGGACGTCGAGCTTGGCGTACTCGCTGTTGAGCCGCATGATCTCGAGGTCGCGCTCGCTTATCTCCAGCTTGGCTGCTGACAATTCCGACTCGATGGACTCGAGCTTGCGCTCCGACTTCCCCAGCTCCTCCTCCAGCGAGGCGATTCTCTGCGTGCTCAATTCGACAATCTCCACAGCCGGCTGCAGCTTCTTTGCCACCGGGATCTTGCTGGCCTGGCTTAAGCGGCCTGGACATGCTGATGCGCGAGACCCGGCCCACTGGGTCGTTGGTGGCCGCCTCCAGCTTCTTCTTCGTATCGTCCAGCTGCCGCATGACCCTGGCGTGCTCTGACTTGAGCCTGAGGTTGGCGATTTCCACGTCGTCCTTTTGTCTGTTCGCATCGTGGAGTGCCTGGCGGGCCGAGCGCTGCGCATCATCCAGCTGCTTGGTGTAGTTGAGCACCTCGGCGCGCAGCTGGTTGTTTTCCGTGCGCAAAATATGTATGTCAGCTTTGTGCTTCTCTATGCCGGCGCGGCTGACCCGGTCATTGCGCTCCAGCAGGCTCTGTCCAGCTTCTAGCTCCTTGACGCGGGATAGCGAGACTTGCAGGTCGGCGAGAAGCTGCGAGACCAGCGGCGCACCGTCAGCTGGCAGGGGCTGTGAGTATCCCAGCAAGTACAGTTGCCGCTGCAGCTGCACTGGGTCATTAGAAATGTTCATTTACAGGACAATAGAAATATAAAGTAACAGAAATTCCAAATTGAAAAAAATTTATGGTAAACACAAAGCGACAACTCCGATATCTAGCAGACTCAAACCAAGCGGTCCTCTCAAAAGGAAATGTCAGTCACGTGCGTGCGTCACATACTCCTCAGTCAGCGCCAGATGCTGGTCCAGCTCCGCCAGCCTGTTCCTCAGCCTCTCGGTCTCCTCGACCTTGTCCTTAATTTTTGCAGCCCATCTGGCCTCGATATCCAGCGCATCACCGGCCATGCCATGGTTTCGGCAGGAACCGACACTGTCGCTGTATCCGGCACAAACACCACCACATCGCCCTGCAGCTGCACTGCCGGGTCCTGCATCTCGGCAATATACTCGGCCAGCGCCTGCACGACATTCCGCCCGTCGGCCAGCGGGTGGCTGGCAAAGCCGATTTTCTCGGCCAGCTGCACCAGCCGCATGCTGGCGTAGACATCGGCGGTCTTGCGGATCTGGTGCAAGGGCAGGCGCCGCAAGACACGCTGCGCCAGGGACGCGTTCTCGTCGGCCGATAGTTGCCGGCTCATCGAGGCGAGGCGCTGAAGAACCATAGGAGTCGAGTCGTTGGCATAGGCGTCGGCCAGACTCACATAGGCGTCCGACGCGGCCTCGATGTCGCGCACGTGCACATTCGGGTAGAACGACGGCAGCCGCGGCTTTTTGCCGTGCTCCAAAAGGCTGATCAGCACCAGGCGCTTGTACGTCGCCACCTGGATGGCGCTGACGTTCTGCAAAGACACCGCAAACACCAGCTTCCACAGCTGGATTGCCTTGCTCCATCCGGCCGACGCCCACCGCCACCATGCCTGCATGGTAGTGGTACTGCATGAACGCCTTGCCGCGGTCGCTGCCCGCCAGGCTGCCCAGCGCCGTGAACTGCACGCTGATGATGTTGTCCAGTACCGCCAGGTGCAGGTCGCGGCGTCGCGAGTACAGGCAGAACAAGAGGCAGTCCAGGTGCGCCATGGTGGGCCGCACGCCCCGGTTGGCGTTGCTGCCCAGAACCTCGACACCGTCCACCGAGCCCACTGCTGGTTTTTCCGCTGCCATCTTTTTGTTCAGCGCCATCGTCAGACTCACCAGCCACTCGCATGCCAGTTCGACCTCCAGGACATCCCCCAGCCTGCTAATACTGGCCACCAGCCTATTGAGGCTGCTGATATTGTGCTCCAGGCTGGCCATGTCAAAGTCGCTGATGAAAGCGTGTGAGCTGCGGGTCAACCGCCGGTCACCTGCTCCAGTGACGTGGCCGGTGTTGAGGGCGTCGGTGAGAATCTGCGCGCACACCAACGTGTGCTGCTGCGGCTGTAACTTCGCTTAGCGCAGAGAGAAACAGGTCGGCGTCAAATGCGCTCGGCGGCCGCCACCGCTGCAGTTCCCTGGCAAGGTAATTGGGAGACTTTTGCGACGCGTGGATGAGCACAGCGTAAGACACCTGTCGAGTTCCAAACATGCTTGAAAAATGTGTTTATTACAAGAGTAAGGAGAAAAAAAAAAGAGCTGGAGAGGAGGGGCGCAGTCAGTCCAGAGCGAGAGAGGAAAAAAAAAGGACATCAGTATCCCAAGGGATTGTCTACGTAGCTCCTGGTGCCTGCTTGCGTCGCTCCACCCACGACTCGCGAACGCGGCTCAGCAGCTCCGAGCCACCAACAAAGTCGAGGATGTCGTTCTGGAACTCCACCTGTCCCAGGCCCATGTCAAACCTCTTCTTGCCCGGCTTCGCGCTGACAACACTATCCCACTCTTGCTTCATTTGTTGCTGCCCAGGCAATGCCAGTCCTGCACAAACCCGTGCCATCAGCAGTGACTGGTACTGGTACATCGGGAACGGCACCACCCGCCACGGGAGGCCGAGAATCGCCAGTGTCGGGTTCGGTGAGTATATCGTGTACTTGTAGAGATCGTGGACTACTATGCCGTTGGTGAGTTCCGGCGAGTATTCAACGTCGCTCGGCTGCAGGGCCAAGTCGTCTGCACTGCGAATGAACGGGAACAGCGACAGATACCCTGTGGCATAAATAATCACGTCGGGAATCTCAATGGATGTGCCATCCTCAAACACAACAGCGTTGCTCTCGACATCAATCTCCCTGATATGCGGCCGTGCCTCTGGCATGTTATCAGGGTTGCACTTTGCACCGAATTTGCCAGCCGGGCTATCCAGGACCGGCTCGTCCAGACCTTGGCTAGCAGCCGGGGGCTCTGACATTGAGACGTAGACGCGCTTTGCCGTGTAGCTCAGCATGCGGGAGCAGTCAGAGCCTGACGACGCAAAGCCCACCACAAGAACAGTCTTGTCTGCGAAAGTCTGACGCCCGCCGAAACTCCTTGGCATGGATAACCGCCTCCTGGCCGCCTCTGCGATAGACCTGCAAGCCCCAGGGACATCTGGGATCAGTGGGTGCGTGCACCTGCCAATGCAGACTAGCATGGCATCGAAGCAGTGCAGTTGCTTGGCCTGGACCTGCTCCTCGAACCGTGCACTGCCACTCCTGCCGGGCATTGTCAAACACCAGCGCCTCCACCTCAGTGTTCAGATGGACGAACCGCAAAAGCCCAAAGGTATCGGCGTATCTGTGAAGGTACTCGTTCACTTGCTGGTGCGTGGGAAATTCTGGCACATCTTCTGGGAACTTTGCGTCGGCAAACTCCATCACGTCCTTGGGCAGGTTCGTCCGCAACTCCCCGTAGACTGGCGTCGGATACCCGCCTGTGCTCGCAGGCGTGTCGAAGCCTACGGTGATGGCGTTTGCTGGTGAGTTCTGCGGCACATTGTATTTGATGCTGACGTCGGGAGAAAAGTTCCAGATCCCTCCTACATCGTTGCTCCGCTCGAATACTGTAATCTCGTTCTTTGGGTCCTGCGAGAATATCCGCGCCGCTGCCAGTCCTGCCGCCCCTGCACCAACAATTCCTATACGCTTTGCGTGAACAACGGTACTGGTGTCTGTGCGCTCTACTGCCATGGCGGGGGGTCAAATGGTGAAACGAAGGGTTGGGAAAAGGTAAAATAAAGGAGGAGGTTTTCTAAGCAAATAAATTTAACGGGGAACTAAAGGAGATAAGGAGGATAAGCGCTAACGTGTGCAGCTAAAGAAGGTCCACAAAAGCCCTTACATGATGCTTTTTTTTACAGGCCATCCACATCCCCTTTTTGTCATGGCCGTGGGCTGGTGTCCAAAGCGCCGGGCTGTCGCACTTCTCAAGGCCATCGTCCTGCCACATCCTGCCCATTCCGGTTCCCCTGATGGCGCATCTGGCTGCCCATGGCTGTCTGCATCCGAGTCGAACCCGCTCTGCTGGTCAAGATGCGTTTTATTCAACAGCTGCGATAACCGCCGCACCTGCGCCTCAGTCCCACTGCTGCTCTGCAGCCGCTCCTGCTCCATGCCAAACGAGTACCCTGCCGTGCGGTCAAACTTGTGGTCGCCGTGTCTGAACGACACCGGCACCGGGCTTCCCCACGGCGACGGCGTGTAGCTCTCGTCTCCATCGTGCATG